AATGCAAAATGCCATACATGTGAAGGAAATTTGAGAAGAGTGGTTCCATTTTCCATACAGTGTGTATTGCCAGTGATCAAGGCAAATCTCTGGCCTGCTATTTCATTGCTTCGGAATTATAAATACAAACATACTGCTGCAGAACAGTTTTTTCAGTTTTTTTTTCCTATCTAATTTTTGTCTCTACCACAGAAATAGAAGCTAAAGAAACACTGATGTCAATATCAGATTACATATATCTTGATTAAAGAAATTGTATATTACAAACATAAACTTATTTCACTTATAAATCCATTAGGTAATTCATGGCAAGGCTTGAAATAACTCTAGAAATTGGGCCTCACATTTGAAATTTTGTACCGGACATAAAAAAATATGGTATTTTCAATTGAAAAATTGCATTTAAAACCCATCAAATTAGGACTGGAATTGGCGTTTTTTCACTCAAGTGCAGGTTAAAAACTAGCTAAGAATAGTTTATGTCATTCAAATAGGCAATAGCATAAGGCATAGGGATAATTTATATTCCCAGTGACTCTCAGGGAACCTTAAAGCTGTAATTAAATTAATTTGTATCTTATTGAAAAACAAAAATGTCCGGTACAAACGAGATTGTACTGGACATTTGCCGAAATTGTAATGGACAATGTCCGTGTCCGGACGCTTATTTCAAGCCTTGATTCATGGCCTTCTTTATATTATTCCTTCTGTTATATGTAAAAAAAATTCTAAACTGAATAATTGAATAGCTGTAGCCTAAAGAAGTACTTTTTACAAAATACTAATTAACATTTACATTGAAGTCAAATTACTGCTTCAAAAAATTGACAAAAGACTGAGAAATTATTGATTTTATTTTTCTATTTTGGAAATTTAGAGTAAAGATAATAGGTACTTGTAAATCTGACATTTTAATTGACAAAAAATATTACATGCAGCCATTTACAGCACAAAAGAGTACATTTAGCTTTTATTCATTTTCGTGTCATAAAAAATAATACAGTTGAATGTGAAATAATGAATAATGAATTCAATCAGATTGCAACAGTCAATACTATTAACTGATCAATGCATAAAGACGTGCTACATGAACAAATACTTTTAAAGTGAAAATGTAAGGTCTAAAATTGTGTCAGGTATTCTGAAGTATAGTTCACTAAGCTTACAAGCAACTGCTTGAGTTCTGTGTAGATTGAATTGTCAATAACCTTTTTTACATTACAAATATTATCTGTTCTGAGAACTTTCCCACAGAATTTATTCATTATTCAATGCCATTGTTCATAACATATGAGCTACAAGAACAACTTCAAACTTTTTCTAGGGGAGTTCCACAACATGAGACTAAACTTGTATTTTCTGTACTGTAAATGGGCATATTTAACATGGCCTGATATTCATAGCTACATAGTGTCAAAAATGTTTAAAACACCTTCAGGAAATTTAAATATTGCAATACAAATCCTTCTTTGATAGTCAAATCTGGTTTTCTATCTGTACTTACAACAATGCATTAAAAATAAACTGTTCCAGCCTTTGATAATCGATTTACCTTTAGAAGTGCATTCCAACATGAACAAATCACATTTGTCATAAACTTAAAGACCTGCAAGAGCAAATTTGCTTTATATTGTTTTCACAGACCCTTCTCTATTGCATCAGAACTTTCATATCAATGAGATGTTGACACTGCATTGATTTTCAATGCCAATAATACCAGAACTCTCTTTGACAAAATATAAATACGCTTTGCTTCAAACTATTCAGAAATTCCATTGTTAATGGATTCAATAGTTCACTGTCGTACAACCAGCAACAAATCATTTATTTCTTTTTCTTCACAGCCCAAGAGAAAATATATGATTGTTGCTTTAACCCCATCATAGAGTGCTTAATTAATAAATAAGAGCAAAGATCAATGAGAAGGGGTTGTTGGTACTGAAAGAGTTAATTATTAATACCTGAATATAGATCACAATTTAAATTAATCACGAATAGTATTTTATTGTTACTTAAATTAATTAGATCACAACAGTTCCCTTAAACTGACCATCACTCATATAAAATCTCTCTTGAACTGAACAAAATATAAATAGTGAGTACTTTTTAACACCTCCATTGTTCAAAGGCTTATTGATGAACTTTAAATGTTAAATCTTACTATTTTATTCTGCCTTAACCTAACCTTTCTAATATGAAGTTTCTTTTTTTGTTCTTGTGCAGAAAGCACACATTGGGGATTTGTAGATGAAGATTAAGATCGGTATTCAATCTAATAATCCAATAAAATGAACCCTGCTGACAATGGCCAGATCTTGATAATTTTTCTCACTGAATTTTAATGAAATTTAAAGGGGTTTTCCAGCCATTGGATGTACATCATGAGTTGTTACAGATTCTATTTGTACCATCCATCGGGTGTTCCTGTTGCTTCATAATTTTTTTTGCCAGGATTGCTACTATTTAGGGTTACCAATGCCATCCTATATATATACCCTAGGAGAGGGTATTATAGGTGAAAGCCTGTTCCCTAAATATGTAAATAAATATTGTTTATACATAAAAAAAAAAAAAAAAAAGCAATGTCATATTAATACCAATTGATTTATGAAGTCTTTCAAGCATAAATTGATCTAATTACATCTCATGATGTTGACCTATATTGTAGTGATGAGTTTAGGGTGCAAAGCAGACCATGCTTACTCTTTTGAAACACCTGATGGTACTTCTCATTTGAGTCCACGACTATTATAACACTATTACTCTTGATTTTTTTACACTTTGATCGGGATTTTGATTAACAGAAATTTTGCCTTGTTTGAACAGATTTATATTTCTAATACTGTCAAGCCAAAAAGCTAAAAAGCTAACCTTATTGCACTCAGGCAATATACATAGATCTACATAAAAAATAAGATAGTTTGCCATGCAAGGTAATATATATGTCCACTGGCAGCTTTGAATTTGAATAACAATATTTGGCAGTACAGTTACAATTACCAGTATGAAATATTCAACCTTCAGATAAATTGAACCAATTATAACGCAATAACTCATACTAAATATTTTTCGGTTTTTCTCATTTTCAATAGTGTTCATCCATAGGTGATTACAAACAATCATACCAAGTTTCATCAAAATCAGTCAAGAATTGTGCCTTCTGAAGTGTTTATGAGCAATTGTGGTTGGATGGACATGCGTGACGAAAATATACGCCCCCCATTTCATGTGGATGTATGAAAATAGAAAATAGAAAAAAGATATCAAGAAAAAATTTCTGAAGCAAAGTGTAAGAGACAATTCTCGCATTTTAATAGAATTTTAAACAAAATAGATTTCACACTTGACACTCTGCAGGAGAATGGTTAAGAATACAAATAGTTGTTTGAGAAAGGCTGATAAAATAAGACACAATGCAGTCTTTGTTTTTGTCGGAAAACATAAGGAGTAAGAAATTGAAATCCTATAATTTTATTGTTCTGTAAGGGAATTGAAAAGAGATAATAAAATCAAGGTTTACAAGAGTTATTGTAATTGATTGTTACTAGCCAACAGACCTAACATCAATATACATCTTATTTTACCTCCTTACTAACATTTTTCTTGCTTTTATCGTTTCACTTTTTTAATCATATTTTTTAAGTTACTTATTCTGACAAATTCATAAAAAAAAATTGAAAATGAAAGTTTAACATCTTGTTTCTCAGAACACTAGATAAAATGTATCAGCCTCTGTATTTTGTTGACGATTGCCATTCATGGAGGATTAACAATTTTAGCCATTTCTTTAATTACGATGGACAAAATTACAGTGCAGGATTGATGGTTGATTTTTCTGCATGAACAAAGCCAGAAAGTGCATACTGTCATCAATAACTTGAAAATGTTTGTCCACTTATAAATGAAATAAACTTAATATCAATACAAATATCAAAGCAAGAATTGTTTGAAACAATCATGGTGAAATTTTACTGTCAGAAAATGTCAGCATGAATCAGCTTTGAACCCAGAACCTGATTTTAAACTTATCCATAAGAAAATTCCAGTCCCATGTCATAAATTTGATTAGATGCCACTCAGCTGTACTTTACAAAATAAAAGGCACTTTATTTATACATTTGGCCAAATCAGATTTGAAATTTCATAATATTAGACAATACGCTAAAATAACATTTCTTTTCATGTTAAAATCAAATTTTCTGAGGCAAATTTTATCATAGCTATGAATACAAATCTAAAAACATTTTTTACTAGCCTTGAAACATCATATTTGTGACGCTGTGTATAATTTGCTTGAATGCCCTTGGAAATAAATCACTACTGAATTGCCAATAATGTTGATAAAAGCTTTTGATATTTATGAAATATGTTGTATCAAACTGAAATCTGTTGTATAACTAAATCTGTTGTATCAAACTGAAATCTGTTGTATCAAACTGAAGTGTGTTGTATGAATATGTAAAATGCTGCATCAAAATGAAATATGTTGTTTCAATACGAAATATGCTGTACATCAATATGAAATGAGCTTATCAAAATGAAATATTTTGCATCAATAGGAAATATGCTGCATCAATATGTTGTATCTAGATGAAATATGCCATATCAAAATAAAACATGTTGGATTAATATGAAATATTTTGTATCAATATGAAGTATGTTGTATGAAAATGAAATATTTCAGTTAGTATCAATGTGGAATAATTGATTTTAAGATCTATAATGTTGATAAAGCAACATATTTTAATAAGAAAGTTTATCTGTGGTTTGTGTTTGGTTAAGTAAATGAATGTTTGCCAATATGAAGAGTGTTAGAGTATCAGATATTGACAAGGTATTGTTGTAATATAATATCACTATTTCAAATGCCACCTTTGTAGTTTCTTGATGTCATACAGTTTTCAAATCAAGACTTTAGGCAAATATTGAACATTTTAATCTTTTAATTAAACTTTTAAAGTCATTTCTTTGAATTTTCTTTGTGCTTGTCTTAATGATGATCAAGTCTTGCAACTACCGTATGCATACAAGAATTTACTGCAAATAAAATACATGACATTTTGTTGGTAATTAAAATGTCATTGGCATCGGCACTCCCAAAAACATTCTTCTCTCTCATCATTGGACAATAGATACTTACATTGGTCTACCAAATTCATCTTTTTCTACAGCTGAATCTGTAACACCTTCTTTTTCCATTAACATTTTTCTAAATACTGATACTTTTCCTTCAATTTCATCTTTAGAATATCTGCAAAAGAATTAAATAAGAGTTTTAAATCTCACTATTCTGTTTCCAATCCTTTAATCTGGCTTATAAATTGGGATGGTAATGGTGCGGGCACACAAGCAGTCTTGGTGAGGGATTATTGTTGCTGATTAGAGTCTGGAGGAAAATTTTGTGTGTTCCCATACAAGATTATCGCGTCCCCAACAGAATTTATAATATCAAACAAGTTTGATAATTGTCTTCAATAGTTTTATTCTCAGAGACAGAACAGCATCATCAAATCAGAATCATTTTCAATTGCATGCTCCGCTCGACCTGGTGGAAACACCAACTTGAGATTTGTGTCTGTGCTAGTTGGCGAAACTTTTGACAAGACTCTAGTCTGCGACAAAACATTTCAAACCAAGACCATTTGTGTGCCCACACCTTTTAAGAGTAATTTAGATGGGATTGATGAGTTTTGATCTGAAAAGTCATGTGAAAAGTTGAAATTCAGTATAATAAAAGGATTATTCAGCCAGTTAAAATCAATATTGCTTCTTTAAAATGAAATAAGAAGCATCAGGCAAATGTGACATATTACAGATATAAAAAGTATAAGAGAACAATTGGTAAAAATAATGTTTTGCCTGGAATCCTATGATGATGAAACGTTCAATATGGTAATTTCCCATGTGACCTAACATTCTGCTATATTGAGGATTTAATTAGACTATTTACACTCCTATTACCAGTCATCTTATCAATATTTATTTTCTTATCTTAGATTACAATTCATGGTAATTCTCAAGTTGTTACTTTTACTGATTGTTGATAAAGCTGCAACACTATTCGACAATAATATTTTTCCAATCATTTTGTATGAAGTGAAATATAAACAAAAAAATACTACTGTAAGTCTTAGATAGTCTTTCCATTGATGTTGATGAAAATGTTAATCAACGCAAAATCATTTTGAAAGATAGCTTGCCAGGCAAGGTAATATAAACCCACTGGCAGTTTGATTTTAAATAAAAATATTTGGCAGTTACAGTAACGATCACCAGTATGAAATATTCTACCTTCAGTCATACACTTCTTTTGAAATAATTAATATTACCAATTTGTCAAAATTTCTGCCTTCTAGAGATTTTACGAGCTAAAAATTGAACAGGATTTCAAGAACAAGGGTAATAACTCATACTAATTATTTTTTGATTCTTCTGATTTTCAATAGGGTTCATCAGCGGGTGAAAAAAAAACTCACACCAACTTCCATTAAAATATGTCAAGAATTGTGCCTCCTAGAGTGTTTTACAAGCAATTGTGGACGGACCAGACAGACATGGGTAACGCCAGTATATGCCCCCCATTTCATGTGGAATCCAGGATTCCAAATATAATAAGGAGCTGAAGACATTCTAAGACAAATAATATGCATTTGAAAATATATTTTGACTATTTGTCACATGACAGAATAAATTTAAAACATATCAGCAATAACTCAAGATCAACGGTGTCATTCATTCATATTGTCACTAGGAAATTCTTGAGGGCAAGTCTTGGTAATGATCACTCAATAAATGTGTAATGAGCTTTTGAAATTGTGTAACCTCCAGGTCATGGCAACACCAAATACAATGGACTTAACCAAGATAATACTGTTCACAATTTGCCTAACTCCTCTCAACATAGACATCATTAAATATCAATTAATAGTTCTAATGATTCCTTTATCTGACAAGCTGCCATTTCAAACCTATTTCATGCTGAGCCATGATCAGTGGTACAATTGGGAATATCAGGGTAGTCATATGTCAATTGTTATCTTTTTAATAACACAAAAGCTACTTCTGTGAAAACTTAGTATTTATCAGTTGGTATGATGACTAAAGGCATTCTGATAATCCAGTTTCATGATAAAATCAAAATATCATCATAATGTGATAATGGAAATATTTTTAATTCTATAGAATTTCTTCAGTTTAGCAATTTTCAAAGAATTTTAACACATCAGATTTGTTCAAAAATGTATCAGCCACAGCCAGTTTGTGGTGAAAGGAATATGTGTTTTATTAAGATCTCTAGAATTGACAAATAATTTAAATTTTAGTTTAGGTAGAAGTCCATCAGTCCTAATTTTTACTACCAAAAAAAGAGTATTCTGTACTGCCCATGGTCCAGTGACTATAATTAGTTGGTATGTCTACTGTAAACAATATGTCATCAGGTCTTTACATTGCAATAAATCTGCCCAATTAAAGTTTCAAAATAAAGTTCGGCCCTAATGTTTGACCAGTATCATATTACATACATACACATCCTTATGGCCTCTCTTATATTAACTTTTCTTATTGACCTTCATTCAATTTTTTTAGAACCATTCTATAAACTCCTTGGTTTCTTTTGTATCTTGTTTTGAAATAATTCAATAATAACTTAATGAGTATTTCAACTGGTTGCGCTCGGCACTTGCAAATTGGCGCATGAATAGACTTTGAAAGAAATGAGCAAACAGTGAAATAATTGAAAATGAAAAGAAAAAAATCAGCAACTTCGCCTATGGACCCCACTGAGGCCCCTTAAGTGGGCCACACGCTGCGACTGTCGCTTTACTCGGTATGCATGTATGTCCATAATGAGTTGCTGTTTCTGTCTAAATGTATTTTGCTGTAATGTAAAACACTTTAAAACCTCGGGAACCCATCGACCATCTATGGCGCTTCAGCAATTTCAGTCATGAAAAGCGACAATTTTGTTCATTTACTTACTTAGGCCTACCCTATTTTAGACTGCCAATTTTATGAGCACAGATTTGGAGATTTAGATGCATTTCCTACAAGAACCTATTTGACATTTTATGGCTGGAATTATTATTTAATATTATTTTGAGGAACACCTCTATTTATCTGAATAGATACGTTAGCCTCCAAACTTTTTATATGGTTTTGAAATGCTAAAACTTTGCAGCTTTTTAAAAATTGCAAAATTTTATCACATATAAAATTGTGTTTCTATAGTGGTTAGATTTGTTTGTTGATATTCCTGATTGATAGGATTCTGATTTCTGAAATTTCACGACTATCTTCCTTTCAAAGAACAGGGTTTTGCTAAGGAGAACCAAAATTTCAAATTTAATCTAGTGAAGAAGGGCTCTGTACTAAATTTAGAACATGAAATCTAATACCAGGGTGTCAAGAACAGGTCAAGTTATGGTATCTTCTTAGTGAGGTATTGGGGACAAGGTGCAATGTAAATTTGTATCATATCTGTCAAAGAGTAATGAACCATCACATTCCAGTTTTGGCTGTAATGGCCGCCAAGTGGTAGTAAAAGTTAGGACTGAGTATAATAAATCAAATTATGCAATATAGATAACTACAACTCCAAATGTTTGAGAGATTTTGAAGTAGCAACATGGATAAATCATAGCTGTTGTATACCTCACTTGATTATACATGAAGCCACTAGTATCTGATTGTTGCGTTCACACAAGTCATCTGACAGATATATATCAATGGTGGTATTTGGTTAGCAATGGAAGTTATAAGGCTAGCTAATCAATTAGTATAGAAAAAACAATGGATTTGGAAAAATTATGTATTACCAGTATTTTGATACAATCCCATTATCAAAGTAAAGTCAAATGTCAATTGTATATTTACAGATGGTATCTATTGCAAATACCATTTCTTTTTTGGTGTAACAAAGTGACAAACAGCAATAGCTTTGGACAGAGCTCCATCAGAGAACTGTATTTTGAGCGTATGTGTATGATAAGGTTCTAAAAAGTCTTGCGTAGGGAAAGTGAACTTTAATCATCTATGATTAATTCCCTGTAAAAATGCATGGTTAATTCAGAATCCACATTCATAAAGTTTGGCAAACATCAGTACAAAAAATAATCAAACCAAAAAAGCAAAATCATAATCCTATTTTTATCAGATATCTTTAATATCCAAGTTGCAATCCTATCCAAATATTAAGTTGATATAGAAGAATCTCTGATATTGAATCTAAGGTGTAAAAACTTACAGATTTGGGCAATAAAAAACAAAAGCAGTGCACATTTTGAAATCACACATCCAAATAGAGCCAACTGCTATAATTTATTACTGTTGGGTATACTTTGTGAAACAGATGTAATAGTCTATGTACAGTGAATGTTATTAGTAATCATAATGAATAATTTTATTTCAAGAAAAGATTAATTTGTTCACCCTCAGTGATTTTTTTATGTCTTCAACTTAAAATAGAACAGCTTGCATTTTATTTCTCTGTAATTTGAACAAGAGTCAAATTTGTTAATCAAATGAGAATAGGCACATTTCTTATTACCAAATCAACTATATTACAGAGCTGCTACTGCTCAAACAATGAACCCTGAATATAAAGGTATGAATCAATTATAAATTGACAGATAAACCAGGCGTTTAATATTCATTTTGATAAGAGTTAAGGATATTTTAAGGCACAAATATCTCAACCTTTCCGAAATAGAAAATTAACATGTAGGTCTTCAATTTTATCTTCCCATAATTGGTAAAAAATAAAAGGTTCTGTTACATTTTCATTCAAAATGTCTGAACAAAATGATGTAATTAAATTTACCAATCTTATCAACTAATCAAATTTATGGCACACAATTGAAACATTATAAATGAATTTCCTATTTGTAAGGTGTTAATCTAATCATAAAAATATTAATCTTAATAATAAAATACAATAGATTTTCTTTTTGTCCAACAGTCTGTATCAATGGCAGACATAAATTGAGTTTTACATTAATTAAATAACCAGGCTCCTTACATTTTTTATTATAGCGTTAGATTAGTAGCTTGATAGATATGATAACATACACTAACATAATGGTTTCCTGAGTAAAGGAGACCATTTTCAAAAATAACCTAAACTGGTCATTGATAACTCTTGAAATCAAAATTACTAATTTTTGAAAAAAGATGGTTACAACTATAAGAATAATCTAATTTTTATCAATTGGTAATTTTGAATTATGATGTATTTTCCTTATGTACAATTTGAAAGCCTTTTCATAGGTTTTCTTTCATATGTCATGGAAGGTAGAGAACTTAATCCTTCATTGCAAAACATTGCCTGAAATGCATTAGATTGTCACTTAAAAATCAATTACGGTACAAGTTTTTGTTCAAGAACATTAACAAGCAAGTGTCTTAATCAGCTTGGTTCTCACAGTACCTCTAATCATTTTATATAGTCCTGGATTTAACAACTAGTATAGGATAAACTGACTTAACAAAATTACAGCACTTGTCTACAATGCTAGGATAACCTAGTTTAAAGGGTAATAAAAGAGGGAAATGGTAGAAGAAGAATAGAATATTGACCACTGTAGCTGATGATCTAAACTTTATATTTTACAATTAGTATCAGATCAGTATTTCACTACACTAGTTACAGACCTATCTAATAACATCACTCTACTACCTCTGTCTTTCTTCCATTAACGTAAATACAATAAAACAAATCCATACATTTTCATTAACTTGAAAGTTTTTCTCTAACCTAATTGTTACAGCCATCAGTCTGTTGTTGAAAATAAAACTCAGTACTAACTTACTCTCCAATTTTATGTTTGTTATGCTCTACTTTCAAATGCTAGATTTCAGGCATCAGAATTTTTTGAGGAGGATTCAACCCATTCCACGTATTGCCTAGCACACAAAAATCCAACTCCCTACCTTTGGCATAGTTGCTGAGTAATAATAAATTAGTCTTGAATTTTTGTGGGTTTTGAACATGAAGGTCAACTCAATTACTAATATTTATCAATTTTAGTTGATTTAAAAAACAACTTTCTTTTGAAACAACAGTATAAAATATACATCATCATAGAAAATAGTCCAGCGCTAGTCTCAGCATTTCCACAATTCCTCAACAAATTCATGTAGGAAGATCTACAAATTTTGGGTTGGGACGAAACAATACTATCATAAATATGTCAAAATGTAAAGTATCATTATACAAATGTTGTTGGTTTATTACTATTACATAAAATATATGGAAGGTGAAACTATTGTGTTAATGTTTTGACTCTTTCAAGGTCTTTGCTCCTATACCCTACCTGTAATGGCATAAGTATATAGCATGATAAAAGTGAAAATTTGAAAGTATAACTTTGAATAAAAGTACTGTGGTTTCATAATTTCCGTGAAATATCACCAATTCCTACTATGGTTATCCAGGGTTTTCATAATTTCTATGAAATATCACCAAGTAGGCTAATCCTGATGTCCTGACAAAATTTTCCTCATTTGACACGGCTCATTATTGGCTCATTATGTGAAGAAAAGTAGATGGTAAAACTCCATTCATTTCAATTGCGATAATGTTGTCAGAAATAGACTTTCATACATGAGTGATCTCCCTTTAACTCTTGCAGGAAAGATTGGTTCAGTTGTTAATCAAAAAATATCTGGATAATATTATGCTTACGTAGCATTTGAAAGCCTTTTTTGTATGTGGCACCTCCTGGCAGTTTCTGGGAATTAATAAATGGAGACACATTTTGTCAAAAATTTCAATCAAAACTATACTGTATTTAGAAGCCTATTTTGACATATTTTTTGCTGAGAGCAAAGGGTAATAAACTAAAAAAAACTGTTCTCAAAAAAATATCAGATTTGAATGGCTATCTCATCAATATCTACCAACATGCCAAGTTTCATCTTAATCTGCTCAAAACTAATCAAGTTCCCAAGCAGTTGGGATATAAAAACAAAAATCACAACTTACCCTTGTTCCTCCATTAATTCTTGCATTTCACAACATTTCAATTCTACTTTTCTCTTCCTTTCATGTTGTAGTATATCTTGGTTGGGTTGTTTTACTAGGGACTGTTCTAATTTCTTCACCTCTTCTTCTGACTTGTAATCTATTCTATCTTTATGTTTCTTAATAAAGGAGAGATTTCTAGTCACAAAACCATTGGTACCACTACCCCTGGCAGTCTGTAGACCAATTCCATTATACATCTTGATTTACTAAAAAACACAATATATCATGTCCAATATAATTTGATGTAAAACTCTGAAAGATGTGTTGTTTGACAATCAATGTAACATAACTGTCCTGAATTTGGAAAGAAGGAAAATTATGCAGAATACCGGTACAATGTTGACAAGCCTTTCACATCATCTCATGACATATATATAGTTTTTCCATGAAAATATATGCATTTGTCATTTACTTTGCACCCCTACTTAATTTGTAACAAATTTATAAATATGATTTTTCAGAATGCATCATCAATTTGTCAAATATTTTCTTGAGGAGAACCCACTCAGACGATCCTAGAGAGCTACCAGTACCACATTTTGAATCTCAAGCACGAATGTTGTCTCCCATTAAGTTATTATTCACCCTGTTTGTATCCCAAGCCATGTCTTGGTAGGCTGGATTTATAATTTTGACACTGTTAACTACCTCATTACATACTTGGCGGTTGCCTGCGTTCATCAGTGGATAGGTTTATACCACCCACTTCGGTGAGTACTCGTGGTATAGCGGCACTAGTACATGCAACATTTTCCTGGGTTGAACTTTCAAAACATGAAGTTACATATTATGTCGGCATTGCCGGCAATCCCCTGGAACAATATTCACCGACCCCTCTCCCCCTCCCCCTGGCAATATTCGAACAAATTCTCAATTGAAGCTGAAACCAGTCTGTATCAGCTATTGTCCCCAATCCAAATGTGGCCGCCCCTAATTGGCACAATTGTATTAAGTTCATCATTGATAGTCATGGAACTGACTGAGTATATTAAGATTGAGCTGAAGAGAATGACGAGATGGTTGCAGAAAGAACTCTTCTGTCACTGACACTGTGAACAAAAAAGAGTCGGATAACGGATTTGAAGAATAAAGTTCTATGTCCATAATTTGTAAATTAATTTGGTTCAAACTGGACAATGAACTCACTTACTTTAAAATTATGAGGAATAATCGTATTTCTTGTGATTTATTCAGCCATTATTAGACTAGCGCCACCTGTTGATAGAAAGATTCTAATTGGAGGATAACTCTTTCCAACAGGTGCCCATTTTTAAAATAGTTGTCTCCCATTAACCATATATTTTCAGTAATATAACTCTTACGCCCTAAATCCCACCATGTCCCTTAAGCACCGATAGCTTATATTGTTTAGAATATGAAAATGAACATTATATGCTACGGTGCTTATAGGAACACGAAATTCCACGGACTTTGGCAGTGTTAAAAAAAAATTGTTTATATCTTTTGTATAGCACACACTAGCATGATTATATTAATCTCTGGCCGTTGTAAATTCAATTGAGGGAACATTTGAGATGGAAATTGTTATGGCCTTCCTTTGGCGTACAGTTCAACTATAAAGACAACCCTTTTTAAAACTTTTCTCAAGTAAGATTAGATCAATACAGCCCCGTCACCAGGAATGGATTGGTGCTGGGGCTTAGATTTTTCACTCTTTTGATGCCACAAACATATCAAAATCTATATCTTTTTGATTTTGTACAAAGACACTTTATATGAATCAATTTTTGCTGAATCGAAGAATGTTTTGCTGGGGCTTAATTCTCACTTGCTGGGGCCCAGCCCCCACGGACCCCATGCACCCCAACGGCGGGGCTTGCCCGAAATTTCTTTGGAGGTTGCAGCCTGCCATCACACAAGTCCTGAAACGATGTGACTGAGTGGGGGTCTGAGGGCTCTCTCCTAAGGAAATTTTTAAAGGAAGAAGCCTGGAGAGCACATTTATGACTATTCGGAGGGCCCAAAATCCCCATGATCAAACGTTAATTTTAGTACAAGCATGCTAGTTCCGACCATTTCAAAATTCTAAGAAGGTTTGAGAAAGATTGTGAACCAATACAAATCACCCTCAAAAATTACCTTCTGTGGTTTCCAGTGTAGAAAATGCATTTTTAATCATTCCAAACGCTTTTTATTTGTAATTTTTATACGCCCACATGGAAATGTGGACGTATATTGCCGTCGCCCCTGTCCGTCAGTCCGTTCAATTTTCTTGTAGACTACAGTTTTTATCCGATCTTGATGAAACTTGGTATGCATGTAAATATTGATCAGATCTCAGTCAAGTTCGAAATTGGTAATAATCGGATGGACAGATTTAGAGTTATTGCCTTGATTTAGTAAAAACGCGTCAAATTTGCCTTGTAGGCAGGATAGAGACTACAGTTTTTATCCGATCTCCATGAAACATGGTATGCATATGTATTGATGAGATCTTAGTCAAGTTCGAAATTGGTAACAATCAGATGAACTGTTTCAGAGTTTTTGCCCTTGACTTCTAGTGTTAATTTTAATAACTTCAAGTCTGTGCCATTTAGGGATAATCAAAAGTCTGTCTGTTGAAAACTCGCTCTGCGTGTAACAAAACTAATGAGATAAAGGACTATATTGAAGAAAATGATTTTGATATATTCATTGCAACAGAAACTTGGCTAAAATCTAACATTTCTTTTACAATCAACGAACTTTTACCAGATAATTACAGTCATTCTCTAGCAAATCGTAGTGATAGAAGAGGAATATCCGTTTTAAACAAGGATTCAATAAAATTTACCAAACTCGTGTCAAAATCATTCAAAAGCTTTGAGCATCTTCCTTCTTTTCTGAAATTCAAGACATCTGAGATTCATTTAACTAGCATTTATAAACATCCAAAGCCTCGACAAAATAAATTCTCATTCGAAGTGTTCCTTGAAGAATTTCAACTTTTATTAAATTCGATAATCAACTGTCATCAAAATATTCTTATAGATTTCAATATACATGTAGATGGCGTATATGATTCTAGTGCCAATGAATTCCTTTCTATTCTCAAATTATTTGGACTTAAACAGCATGTAAATAAAGTAACTATTGGCCGTGTTATAACACGTGCAAATAGCAGTCTTATCGGTTCACTTGACGTTATTGATGAGCTCATCTGATCATTTTAGTATTATCTTCGATCTGACAGTTCCTAAACCAGTATCTTATAAACAAGAATTAACCTACCGGAAAACCAAAAATCTTGATATTACCGAATTTAAAAAGAGCATTTCAGAATCCGATCTTTTAACAAAAATTCAAAATTTACCAAATTTATCAGATCAGGTTACACTGTACAATGAAACTCTTACCATTCTTGACAGACAGGTTCCAAAAGTTACGAGAAAGGTTGCTGTTAGGCCTAACACCGAATGGTATAATGATGAGATCCGCTACATGAAGCATAAAAGGCGGACGGCCGAAAAAAGGTGGCGGACTAATCTATAAAAATGTCAGAACAAAAACTAATAACCTTATAAGAAATAGTAAGCGGAAATATTATAAAGACATTTTATCAAAAAACAAAAACAATCTGAGAGAAACCTACAAAATAACAAATCTCCTTATGCATTCTAGATCCACTAACAATTTTCCACCTAATGTTTCTTCAGAAGATCTGTCTAATAGTTTTGCTAGCTTCTTTATCAATACGATTGACAATATACGAACTGGTCTATCAGAATCTACATCTAAGGAACGAATAAGTGAGCGAATATTCAACGGCCATATCCTTACAAGCTTCGAACCTGCAACCGAAATTGATATTAAAAACTTTATTAGTAAATCCTCGTCAAAATCCTGTCAGCTTGACCCGATTCCCACATACTTAAACTACTTAAACTGTGCATTGACGAACTGCTCCCTGTTCTTACAAACATCATCAACACATATCTCAAAACCGGATCTATGTCGTCTACTTTAAAATCAGCCTTGGTTAATCCGCTTATCAAGAAATCGAACTTTGATCCAAATGAACTTAAAAATTTTCGACCTGTATCTAATTTATCTTTCAAAGTTAATTGTTGCATCTCGTCTAAAAGATCATTTAGCCAGACATGATATGGATGAAAATTTTCAATCAGCATATTTTGGTTTGAAATTTGCAACATAATAACTTCCAATAGGTGTGTACCTTCAGTGCAAATTTCACCTTTCCAGCTCTGATAGCCATCGAAAGAGAGCCTGTCAAAGTTTTGGACTTCACCCCATTGAAAATGCAGTGCAGAAAGACGCTTAGGCAGACTGCCGACCCCACCCCTGAACTAAAATGGCCATAACTCAGCCAATTTTGACCCGAGAGGTACAATTTTTGTTTGTAATGAAAGCTTATCATTTCCTCCATCTATTTCAGTAGAAAACAGAAATTCGACACTTTTTCAAACTTTGGAGAAAATTGACTTTGAAGTTGCACCCTTGATTTCAAGAGGAAAATCGCTTATATTTTGGTTTGGGAAAAAAGTCTGAGACTGAAAGTGCTGTAACTGGCAGGGTTTTCAAGATAGGAAGCTGAACTTTGGAACACAACAACTTCAGATGGGTGTGAACATTCAGTGCAAATTTCTATCTCCAATAGTCTCTAAGCGGCAGCCTGTCAAAGTTTTTGTCTTCACCCCAACCAGTGCAACGAGACTCTATAGGCGGACTGCCGACCCCCACCCCTCACTAAAATGGCCATAACTTCGTCAATTTTGACCCAAGAGGTATAATTTTTGTTGCAAACGAAAGTTAAACATGTCTTCTATCTATTTCAGTCGAAAACCTTTTTTGAAATCTTTCGGGAAAATCGACTTTGAAGTTCCACCCGAATTTTCAAGAGGGATATTTGCTTATATTTTGGTTCGGGAAAAATCTGAAACTCAAAGTGCTGTAACACACAGGGTTTTCACGGTAGGGACTTGAAATTGGCAACGTAACAACTTCCAATAGGTGTGTACCTCCAGGACAAATTTCAAAATTTTGTTGCAAACGAAAGTTAAACAATAAAAGTTTACATGGTACTTACTTTGTTTTCATAACGACAAATTATTAAACTTGGATAAGAAACAATCCCCCGTTCTGATACTACTTGATTTGAGTGCCGTTTTTGACACTATTGATAAAGCATCTTAGTCAATCGTTTATGTCGAAGATTTGGAATCTCTGGAACTGCTTTGCAATGGTTTTCATCATATTTATCAGAAAGAACTCAATCTATGATTATTTAAAAATCGACATGAAAATCACAAATAATGAAGTATGGGGTACCACAAGGCTCTGTCTTGGGTCCAATACTGTTTACGTTGTATACTATCCCCATTGGTGATATAATCCGAGAGAATGGAACTAACTATCATTTATATGCTTATGATAGCTCTTAATAACCTTCTAGTATCTGCTAAGATTGATCAAATTGAGAAGTGTGTTTTTAACATAAGACAATGGATGAAATGTAATTTTTTAAAATTAAACGACGACAAAACTGAAGTGATACACATTGGCAGCAAAAAATCTCTTCAGTCTGTTGACCTTAAGTCTGTTTTAATCGGCGATTTTAATGTAACTCCTACTTCTTCTGTCAGAAATCTCGGTGTAATGTTTGACTGTAAATTAGAGTTTGACAGTCATATCAATTTCATGTGTAAGAAAGTAAATTTCCATCTGTACAACATTGGAAAGTTGCGTCCATACATCAATATGGATACAGCCAAGATGCTTGTTAATGCCTTTGTTCTTTCCAACATGGATTACTGTAATTCACTTATGTTTCATTTGCCTGACAATAAAATTGACTGACTACAGAAGCTTCAGAACAGAGCGGCTAGAATTGTTACGAAGACCAAACAATCTCACGTATGCGTTTTTAAGAAACTTTTAAAAACGTAACTTTTTATCCACTCGTATAACAATAACTAATATTGATTTTAACCATATTCATTTAACCGACGTGTTTTCTCGTTCTTAGACTGTGTTCTGAGCAATATAATACTGTTTTTATACGTCTTTGTGTCTTGTGCTGTTAACATTATGTGCGCTACAGAGCAACTTCATTGTTGGAATGATCAGCGCAATATATATAGATTATTATTATTATTAGTAAAAACGCGTCAAATGTGCCTTGTAGGCAAGATAGAGACGACAGTTTTTATCCGATCTTGATGAAACTTGGTATGCATCTAGATATGATGAGATCTCCGTCAATTTCAGAATTGGTAATAATCAGATGAACAGTTATTGCCCTTGTGTGTACAGCGATCAGACATTGTTTGAATTTGATAATAACTTGATGGACTGTTTCAGGTTTTTGCCATGACTTATAGATGATTTTAAGATTATTTGAAAATTCATTATTAAGCCACTAAAGATTTTGTTATCATTTCTGACAGCTGGTAGTGGGTGTATGTTACCTTGCCTGGCAAGCTATCTTAAATTATGATGTAATTTGGTAAAAATTTAACCAATTATCTTGTTGAACTTTTACCAATATGTCCAAATCATCTGGAACAAGTTTGGCTTAATTACCACAATCACTGTATTTTGTAGGCCTTATATAGTGATCTCTTTGGATTATTATTTTCAAATTCGAATGGATTGTAGTCAATGTGATTAGATTAATCCCTTGACATGAAAAAGAAATAATATTAACAAAGGTAACCAGGTCTATCTTGGAAAAATCTCTTGGCATTGATCTGTATCTGATTGTCTTGATAAGACAGAGACACAGAGAGATATAGAAGAGATGGCTTATTTTCAGACTATGAAGTTTTAATAGTAAGAATCATCAATCAGAGGTCAAAATGAAACATTTATTTATTAAGCATTAATAAATATATCTCCAAAACATTTATAAAATGAGAGTCATTACAAAAACAGAGCGTCAAAAGCCAGTAAAACACTGTCTGCCAAAAGAAATAGAGAAACAAAAATTTTACTTGTGAGAAAACAGCGTTATTAGAGAGACAAGTTTTACATCAAGGCATTTTGTATAAACTATATTTATAATAATATGGAGAGAAATAGCAAATGTCATAAAAATGGCGATAAAAACAATAAACACTTATTTAACACATATATTGTCATTGTCACTAATAAACAAATACAGATGTTTACAATAATTACTAAATGTACAGAAACCTTTATGAAATGAATGCTTGTTTTAATAACATATACCCTGATAGGAGAGATCTTCACTTACTTTTTCAAGAGATAATTTTAAACTCAAATAAAAATGTCAGGATGTCATTGAAAAAGGTCATGGAAGATGACATGAAAGATAATATCATAAATTTCAAAAATAATATAAAACACATATAACAACATAACAATTTCACACAGATTTAAGCAGAAGCTTTAGATTTGTTGTGTCTTGCAAACCATTCATCACTTTTATCTGCTTGTACAGCCTGAAATACAAACCATATTTAAACTGAATGCAAAATTGTTGCCATGCACGTGCACAAAAAATATCTTCTGCATGACCATTTTACAGATATCCCATGAAAAATATTAAAGACTTCATTTGAGGCAGGGGTGTAAATGGAAGAAACATTTGATTTTATAAGGGCCTACCTCATCTAATAAAGCATCTGCTTTTGAATCAACCTGAGATAATTCTCTAAAAGCTTCATTACCAACAAAACAAATCTCATGACCATCCTAAAATATGAAAAATAGCAAATTGAAACAGAATACTTTTAAGATCTGAAAACACTTTTGAAAATGACAGAATTTTACTCAGCCATGAACTCCATAAATCATTAAAGTACTCACAGGATCAGCTAATATAACAACTTCAACTGTAGCTTTACCAGGTGTATCTAAGCTTACTAATGGAGTTAAAATCTTTTCATTGGCATCTTTAATAGTTTGTTCTATGCATGGTAACTGAAATGATTTGAAATGCTATTAATATAATTTAATGATTTTTTGAGACAATAATATTGGACATGATAATTCCAGAGCACTAGGTATATAACAAACAATCCAGGCACTCGCTGTGCCCCAAATTGTATCTCCACTTCATTTCTAAGAAATTGCAGAATAAGATTTCTGTATTTTTTTGGCATGAAATGCATGCCATAATAAACCAAATCAATTTCATTTATCAAAATTTTCTGTTTTAAAATTTCCCTCAGATCTTTCATAGCAGGGTTGTACTCAGGGAGCTTTAGAATTAAAAATATAAAAAACCTGACCCCCACCCTTGAATTTGGGTATAATCACATTATTTACATATAACATTCAAGCCATTACCTGATCTCTTGGACAACTGAATGCAACTCTTCCAAATGCTGTAGCATGATCTATAGGTACACCAAGATCAAAAAATTCTAATTTACACTGAAAGTAAAATGCACACGATCTTCAATCATTAATAGTATAAAACTGTTTTAAACTAAATGCTAAAGTTATGTCTCTTACACTTCTCAAACCCAGCCTGCCTTGTTTATGATCCAATGAAGTACCACAAGGCAAAGTTGCCATTAAACCTAAAACACATTCTCATTTGCTGAAAATATAAAATTCTCTCCATTTTCATACCATCTAAATCTACCTCCAAGCATGCATCTCACTTGAGTATTTTAAGGTTTGTATTCAAGATACCTGAATTGGGACGAAAATATGAAATTCTTCAAAAACAAGGACTGACCTGATCATCTGCATATCCCAAAACAACTGATTTTTCTGTTTGAGAATAGATCTGCATTCCTAATAACCTTTTCCAATAATCTAGAAAAAAAGAAAAGCAATTTTTTTTTCCATCCTTCCAGACAGGAAATCACATTGACACCTAGTTCTCATATAATTCTACAAAAAAAATTCAGACTGTTTCAACTAGTATTTCCAACTTGTATTTTTAAATGATACAGGCAATTAAAATTGAACAAAATCTAGATAGTTTACCTATCGTTTTCTCTAAGTTGGAACTACCCAATTGTACTGATTGAACAGGATCTGAAACAAATGAGAAAATGGTTAATTCATTAACAGTTCGAACTTATCAGAAGAATTTCAAGGCCTAGATGTTGAAGATCTTTAACAAAATTTTTGACTTTCAGTACAGAACAAATAATATGCACTTCTGATAACATGTACAGTGCACATTGTGCACTATACGATCTTTCACAAAAAGGTGAACTTATATAGCTTATCTTAGCAAGGAGATACAAATATGTGTCTTAAAAGGTAGGTCAAACAAGGAAAAATTATCTTTAGTCTACATTTTCCTCCTTATCTATTAAAGTAAATTTTTAAAGTATTTCTGAAAAATGTATGTTACTTTGCTTCAAAGATAATACTAACTAACATTCAAGTTAGTTTTAATAGTCTACTGAACATGAGTAGCCTGCATAGCTAAACAAAAACACAATGTTAGGTCAATGAATCTTGTCATTTGCTTGGTTACCTAGTGCAAAGTCTCCAATTCCAGTTGACAAAGCGGTTAATCGGTATGGATAATCCAGGAAAGATCCATGCCAAGAGGTTTGGCCAAGGACCAGCTGGCAGAAAGGATCCTTTGTTAACCAGAGTTTTTATCCTTTGTTTACAGCACAGAAATAATAATTATTTTCCATATTGATCAAGAATAAATCAGGGCGATTGATTTGGTTCAATTTCTTAAGTCATGTCAGTTTGAACCTCCAAGTCCAAGTCATTGTGTGTGAAATTTTAATGGCTTTCAGTGTAAACTCACATGTTTACAAATCTTACAGTGCCTACATGTTAAATTAAACTCATTGCATCAAGGATTATTCTGTTTACTCTGTGTCAAGTTCTTAAAAGCAAAACAAATATTTTTCTAATCAATTGGAATGGTGCCATATGTGTAGCATCAAAACTGACCACGAAATGGTCCTTGATTTTAAGTAAAAGCTCTTTAAAAAATATTCTGATGAAAGTGGCCTACATATTCACATGACTTAAAACATCATAAATCACCTGACTTAATCTTATAAAACGTGATATCAATATTATCACGTATGGTCTAGAAGATTGATGGAAAATTGATTCATCATTATATGATTTCCGAAATCACTTCTCTTTATCTTAGATAAATACATTTGATAACATGATCACAACAATGATTTGGCAATTTAGATCAAAAGACCCTGTTACAAATAAGTAAGCAGTCTAGGGCCATATGAGTAACGACCTCCTCACCTACTATGAAATTACATTGACCATTCTCTTGATTTCATAAAACTTTTTTTCATAAAATAATAACAATTCAACCCACTCAAAATTCTATTGTTTATTTGATTAGTTTCAATAGATAGCTATAGCCTTTTAAATATAACAGATTATATCAACTACAAATGTTTTATTAAAGAGATAGATTCGCCATATTCAGAGTTGATTTTGGTATTGAATATATATGTAAATAGTTTTCAGAAGTACTCAAAATGTACAAATATTGCGTATTTCCTTCAGAAAAACCTCAAACTAGGAATTTTCTATATTTCTATATCAGTCTTTTCTATTTATGGCACTCTCCAGTAATGACGAGTCATCATTTTAACATATAAATGTGGATAATTGTGAACACACATGGAAATGAAGGCTAAAATTTGACAGTGAGCTGCCTAGTTAAAAAAATCCTTGTTTCTGAGACTAATGTAAATTTGGTCAAACAAATGGTGAACCTGTCCCTTTAAAAAAAAATTGTTTGAGAAGATAATTAGGTAGCAATCTCATTACTCATTAGCACTAAGAATATTTACTTGTTAATTTTTACAGGCCTTATCTTAAACTTTACTTTAGTTTACTGATTATGCTGAGAGAAAATTAACTCCATGGATGATCTTACCTGCATCATTAGGGACATTTCCAGGAACAATGTGGAATCTATACCCATCAGGTGATTCAATAGTAGTAATATCATCTTTAACAGTATTGGTAGTATTAGTTTTTCTTACATTCTCTAGTATCCTATTAGATTTAATAGTAATACCCTGCAATATAACACTATTATTAGAATTATTCAGAAGGTATTCAGCTGGTAGAGAAGTATCTATGGTGTTATACCATAGGTTCTAACCTTCTTGAAAAAAATGTTAATGTCACTTCAATTATTTTCTACAGTTTTATTTCCTCATGTTCTATAACCAATATTAATAGTTCATTTTAAGTCACAAAGGCACACCACTCTATTTTTAAAGAATGTCTACAGTTTATTTTACAAAATTGCATACTCAAGAGACATTTGTACTGTTCCTTTCAAAACACCACTATATATATCAATAACTGAGTCAAGTTGAATTTTCTTTTCTTCTAGATGATTAGGTAGACTACAGCAGCTTCAATAATCCTCATGATAGGAACAATTTATTTCATTATCAATGATTTCCAGATACAGCTTGGTGTCAATCATTAATTAGACTTGAATTTTTTTTACTCACATGAAAATCGTTTCCAATTTTATAAAACCCTAACCCATAATTATATGTTAATTCTACAACAAAGTGATTATCTTCTGGTCCATAACCAACCATAGATTTACTCCATTTACCATCATATGGTCTGAAAGAGAATGTGGTAAAAGTAAATATCTGAAGTTCAGATTAGGAAAGCCTCCTATTAAACTAACCATTGGAATATAACTGAATGATTGATCAAAACAGTTGATAATTTCAATCTAAAACAAAGAAACCCTACTCTTCTTCTGAAATGTCCTTGAAAGATATGACAACATGTTGATTGTTGACCACTGCTTTTACAGTTTATTCATTTGTTAGGGTGCTAATCAAATTTTAGTGTCAAAAACAAAATGTTTGATCATATTAATGATTCATATTAAGAATCACCTGTTAGGGAACCAGTTTCTCAAGTTGTTGAAAAGTGGTATTTCTCTGTGTATTGTTGAAATGATGTAACAGGATTTTGATATCGACTTATGTTAGGTTTTTAGTAAACCAAAATAATAACATGAGATTGAAATGAAACTGGGTGAAAAGGTCTTCCCCCTAATAACAATGTTTCTACTAATCTAGCACATTCCTATAGTGTCACAGTGTATATTGTGATATAAACATTCTTTATTTGATCTCACATGACCCTGACAGGCTGAACTAAGTCAAGGACTATTTAGTCAAGGACTCTTGCCATCATGAGGAAAATTACAAAGATAAAAAGGAAACTTGCTCTGGTTTTTTTTTTGGCACATGATTTCGTTTCATTATATATGTAATCTTTAATCTCATATTTAATATCAAAGTAAATTTGCCATCCCCATGAAATCAATGTAAAGACTTCGATTATCCTTTTCTAGCTCAAATATAAATATTTGTCTTTTATCATATAATAGCTTTCTATTTGACATGACCATTTATCTCATGTCAAAGGGTCAATCTGGAGATAAACTTTTAGGGTAATGGAAATTTACATCTAAGTAGCCTCATAACAGATAGTTAATCGCAATAGTACATTTCTACCTTTGTTCAATTTTATAAAGACAAAGTCATCACAAATTGATAGAGAGCTCAATTTTAGATGTCCATAACATTTTCAAAATTACAATCTGACATTTGGGTTTCTTGCAATTCCTCAACCATCTACATAAATGTTAAACTGTTGTCAACACTAGGGTGATATTACCATCCCTATCATAAGCAGATATTACTGTGAGAATTCAGTGAGAATGTAAACTATACAAGTTAAACAATGACACAGATAGCTGAAACTGTTAAGGAGGATATCATTCAGTCAGAGAAACCTAGTTGAAATGTTGCCTGTAATAAAGATAGTAGTTGTAAGAGTATTTTCATATTTTTCTTGGAGACCTACATTACAAAATTTAAAAAAAAATTGTAATGAAGTTTCTCAAAATGCCACAAAATGGAGAATATATTTCAATGCATCTCTGAACTGTTTTTCCTTACCCATTGCACGCTGCTTTACAACCTTCTTCAAATTCCTCATGTCTCAAAAACTGAAATTTACAACAATATATATCCTTTCTATGTTTAACTTAATTCATTATAATAGTACCAATTGTTGAAAGATTATGCAAACAATGAATTATCAAGCAAACAATTATCAAACAAACAATTATCAAGCAAATAAGGTCTGAAGCCTGAATGATAAGCCTCTAAAATGACAAATCTATATGTTATAGAAATTGTCTCTTCAAAAGAGTTATATAATAATGTAGTGTAAAGCAATAATAATAATAATTATACAAATATTTATGTATTTATTCCAAGTTTTACCTTCATTCCAAGAACATTTCTGTAAAACTTTGCAGTCTCAGTTCTGTTACCGATTTTGAAAACAAAATGAAGAGCTCGTCTTGAAGACATGTTCAAATTCTCACTTCTCAATAACTAGTAATAAAAAAATACTACGAAATTATATAGCAGTCGGTTTTTTCCATTCACTCCTTTGAGGTCATGTGATTATCACGTGACTAACCAACAAGATACGTCATTTTCAAAGATGTCAGCCTCCTTGAGAACGTGTTTACAAACACACTTTTCAACCTTAATTCGTTATAATTCACCTTCCATTCAACTTGTATCAGATTTTAGAGCAAAACGATGTCATTCTGGAGGCCGTGGTAGAATTCCTATAGATATAAAGTCTTCTGACGCTGATCGAAATTCCTGGCATGGTCGTAAGAAAGATTACTTTTACAATCCTCGACAAATGGACCCATCAAAAAATCCATACATTCAGTATGACTATAAGGATCCTGTTCAAAGAAGTATGAAAAATATGGCCAGATCTAGGCCGAATTATGAGGCAGAAATCAAATCAGACTTTGATCAAATAATGAGTGATCAGGAGATAATTTATAATAATCCCCATCAGCAGAGGCAGTTTGAGAGAAGTCACCTAAGAAGAAATAGGGAAGATTTTGAAGACAGATCATCTCACAACTCTGAATATGAGTATGAAAAATTAGAACCTGGAAGCAAATTATTCAGGTATTATGAAGAATTGATTGAATTTTATGGCTTAATCTAACATAAATTCTCATGGCTGTATTAATACAGTGGTTTTAATTAAGATAGTGGACCACAACCATATAGGCCTACGCCCACCAAAACATGCGGATGGTAATTATTAAAGATTTTGGGGCAAGGGCAATAATTCTGCTTCTTGCAGTCGAAAATAGCTCAAATTCGAACTTGATCTTCATTTGATTCCATCAGAAACTCTAGTTTTTAGAGTGTTTACAAGCAAATGTTGACGGACCGACGGACAGGGGTGCTGACAATATACGTCCACATAGGGAGATGTGGGCGTATAAAAATGGTATTTTTAATATTTTTTATGTCAATGAAGTTTACATCATTCCTTTTAGCCGAAGAGTAATGTTTTGTAAATCGAAAGATCAGAGAGATAAGAAAGGTATAATTCTCCTAGAGGGTAGGAGATTGATAGTTGATGCCATTAAAGCTGGAGCTAGATTGAAAGAACTGTTCATTACTCGTGTAGAAATGTTAGATATGTTGCCACCTGGAATAAAAGCAAAGATTTATAAAATATCTTATAAGGATGCTAAAATATGGGCGGATACACAGACACCTTCAGGAATATTGGGTATGTAATATAAAATGGTTATTATCAGTAATTGGGGTTGAATGGATGGGAAGGGACACATGGGTAGGGTTCAGCCAGGGATGTATTTATGAAATTCCTGAGGGGGAGGCAAGGGCCAAACCACTTGGCCCAGAGTTCTTGGTTCTGCCAGAGGCCTGAATGAATTTTGACATTTAACAAGCTAGAGGAGGGAAGGGGCATGGCCTAATGACCCCCTAGATACATCTCAGGGTCCAGCAATAATTTAGAAGAAAAACAACGTGCACCAGTTGGTTGGTTGTTAAATCTGCTTCCAAAATGACCAACCACTGTTTACAGCTGAGTTGATTGAAAAAAAATGAGGAATTGAATGATGAATTATTTATAGCTAGCTGTATTTTAATTTCAATACTTGTTACTGTGTCAAAAATCAATCTTAACTCTTTCCAAATAGAACCCGTAAATCGATCATTATTTCCAGAATAACAACAAATATGTAGTGCTCTATTATTCTGTTTTTAGCTATATTTGAGAAACCTGAACAAGGAGAAGTCTATCTACAACATCAAAGATTACCTATTACTGTTATATGTGATCAGATTAGAGACCCTGGTAATATGGGTACATTGATTCGAACTGCTGCAGCTGTTGGCTGTGAAAGGATTCTTGCTGTTAAAGGTAAATAGTGCTCATCTTAATTATATTTATTAGACATTACCTTCATATTTCATCAAACCTGGAGACTACCAAAATGAATTTTAAAAGCACTGTCCATTAGTTGATGTGCTTTTTTCTCAATATATTATCTAAAATCTTATCTCCATTTTGTCATTAAAGGAATTGTAAAGAGGTTTTCTATAAAAGTTATGTGTATCGTGCACCTTAATAGCATATATTTGCAATTCATTTTTGAATCAGACGTTGGTGGTTCTTCCAATTCCATTAATCCAAGTGTTTGATGACGTCACTAATTGCGAAATATGCTTTATCACGTAAGACCCTTCGTGAAAGTCAAAGGTGGAAAGTTGAAATCATCAAAGAGTAAGCTAATGCTGCTGTCTGGCAAAATTATACTCAGTGGACACTGCATGTTGTTGCCCATCTTCATTAGCCCCATAAGGTACAGAAAGGTAAAATATTTCTAACTATTTACAGGATGTGTAGATCCATGGGAACCAAAAGTCATTAGGGCTGGTATGTCATCACATTTTCATATTCCTATCATAACTCAACAAAATTGGAATATGCTGATCAACTATTTACCAACCAATTGTCAAGTTCTGGTGGCAGACAACCGAATTCCAGAAAAAATTACCCAGAAGTTTGATACTGAAAACATTGAGTTGTATCAGGATTTGACAGAAACTGATGACAGTAACGAAGATGATAATTTGGACAAAAAATTTACTGCAGCAGAACATAATCTTTATAAATCAACCCCTCTATCTTTAACAACCTATGATAAACTCAATGTCACAGCAGACGTGGCTTTAATTATTGGTAATGAATCCAGTGGAATTAGTCCAGAAGCTAAGAAGTTTGTGTTTGAATCTTATGGACAAGTTGTGACTATACCCATGATACCAGCTGTAAACAGTCTGAATGTTACTTCTGCTACAAGTGTCATTTTGTATGAAATCAGGCGTCAACTTAGTCTTAAAGAAAATAAGGACTCTGATGATTGAAATAACATTCAATATGCTTCCGAAATAGAACAATATTTTAGACAGTTAGATTCATGTATGTAGTTTGTTACCTCTTCATCATAATAGATTATCTAGTGTTACTAGGTAATATGTATTGCCTTTACATGCAAATGGGTCAAAGCAAATAACTGGAATTTGTCCAGAGGATATTTAAGAATGACAAAAAGTTTATTTACAAAATATGTTTATTTAAACAACACCCCACTCTTCTTCAAATGCTGAACAGAACTTAGCACAAGTTAGCGCTGCCGATAGGGGGTAACTACTGATAGAAACAGATTTTTCAACATAATCAGCATCTACCTGAAATATCAAATTACAACAGATCAGTTAGCTAAAGGCATGAAATGAACAATCATTGAAAGGAATTGATTAGATCTGTGAATGTTAATGCAGTTTCTCAAGATATCAATTGCATAATAAGATAAAAGACTGAAACCTCATTTTTCACCCCTCTTTGAGATATTGTTTTAGATGTCCTATTTTAGCCTGTGTAATTGCCAGTAATATTAAATAAACTAGCCATGTGAAATATTGATGAAGAACTAAAAGCTTACCATTCCATGTGCCATAGCTCCTATAACAACCACTGCAGGTTTATCTTTTGGTACTATTGTTTTAGGGTTGATCACATCCTCAGCTTGAAATGACGTTCCTAATTTTAAACATCCAACAGGTAAATGATCATTGATCGGATTTTTTATCACCTGCAAGAAAAATTGAATCTTCAACAATCGAAGAGAAGTATGGGTAATAGTTTATGCTGTTCTGACAAAAATGGTTCCACACTCTAAAAAACCATCAAGCAATGTACAGAAGTTTGGCACTCTCTATATACCATATCTTGTATGTAAACTTTTATTTCCATCACAAAGAATTCACCAGTTCAGGACCACATTCAGTCAACCAACTTACCTTTAATAATTTCTGTGGACCATCTGAGGCATGTATACTTAATTTATGTAACAACTGAACTGAAAAAATGAAAAATTAACGTATAACTTGATACAAAACCTGTAAATTACAAAATTTTATGATCAAAAACATTTTCTTGTCTGCATTCAAAACTAACACGTTTTTCCATCCTAGTAAAATCATTTTAGATCTGGTTTGTTGAAAACATTCATCCACTTAACCAATATCAAATATCTCAAAACTATGAGGAAGGTACAAACACTTACCCATAAGACCACAGAATCTTTCAAATGTTCTAGGTATTCTGGTTTGGGGGTTAATTTCTATTAAGACATTGGTTTCTGTGTGTATATAAACTTGTAATAAACCAGCTCTGTTTAATGGACTATCCATCAACATTAACAAACACTGAAATTAAGAGCAAGTTGATTATTCTCAGTCAAGTTTATTTGATCATTATATTATTTAAATTCTTCCTCAACTAAAACTTCTGTAGTTCAATCATTCAACTCCATTTCATTGCAATTTCCAGAAAATGGATAAATTAACAATCAGTCACTACTGGGAAAGGCTAGTCCAAAACAGAAGAAAAAGACCCTGTTAGATGGGGATTTTCCACACCTCCAAAGATGCGTTTTCTCTAACCTAATATTGAATTACCTTAAAAGTGATTGTAAATTAGTGTTGGGCATCACAGTAACTTTTGTTTTGTTTATATCACGTGACTCTGTGACATGAGACATGACATAAATGGTGTAGGGGGAAAATGATGGTATGACTGAACTACAAAAATATTAATCTTTTGCAGATCCAAGGTATCTAAACAGGTTTAAAACCCTTTGCACCTGCGGAGATGCGGAATGTCCCCATTTTTTCTGTCTCTACATCAGCTGACATCTGTCCAAATAGCTATCTGAGGTTGGAATAGAGACAGATGTTTCGGTCTAGAGAAAGGCCTGACTATAATACTAAGAGATGGATGTTATACAAACCTGATGAGTAATGTCTGGTCTACATTGTGAAATATCTTTTTTAAATTTCTTTGATAAATGTTTATGTCTATCACAGTTTAACAATTCATATGATTTACCAGTCTGAAATATAGAAAATGGCATACCATATTTTAACACAATTTTAAAAGAAGAATTTTCTTTAAGGTATGTACCCAAACCTTTGTCAACACTACAGATCCAGCAATACAGCTGGCAGTAACATATTATTGTTTATATTTTCTCCTCCATACCAAGCTGTTTCTCAAGTCTCAAGTGTTTGGCAAACAGCTACAGATCCAGACCAGCCCTAAGGCATACACTGCATTGTCAAGTAGTTTATACAGTTGGTAACATAGTAAGTTAGTTATGACGATTCTTGGGTTAATTTTACTAATAGATCAACTAAAGATGACCAAGAAGATAATTAAGAATCTAAAACTCGATCGTAGAAGAATAGATAATTTTATCTACCGCATTCCAGATAAAATTTTTAAACTAATATCCAAATCAGGAGGTCAAGAAGCATTTATTGCTTACAACAGACAGAAGAACAGGTAAATGGATAATTCAGAAAGAATTATCTCCCCTTCTCACATAAAACAAAACAAGACGATCAACATATGGATTTAACTTAATACAAATAAAACTTTTCAGGTGTTTTTATTTTACCTTGACCGTTTCCAACGAAGCATTCTCGAGGACAACAACTAACCGCTTTTCGGTGCTTGATTTTGAGACCTTTTTGATAACTTTCTGTTTTGTTCCATTTTCATGCTCTCTCATGGGCGCAGCCATTTTGAATTGTATAATCCGGAAGTGATTATTTTAAATATTCTTTTTATTTTAGTTTTCTTCATTAATACGACAATGATCAATCGGATAAAAATACCACATCCCTTCTTAGTTTCATTTAATGTGTTCAAAGTGTGTCACTTTTTATTTCATATTTTTGTTGTAACTATGAAAAAACTGTTTTATTTACACCACGTGATCAAATGGTCACATGACTTTGTTTACCTTTCAAGTTTCCAGTTCAAGCACATTCCTTAAATCTATTTCAAGTTAAACACGCACCAAATTTTACTTACCATAACAATATAAATCAAACAGGACTAAACTAAGATAAGCCAAATTCTCCAACGTTTAGCATAGAACTAGGATATGATTTACAGAATCCAAACAATATTTATGATGGCCATTGCCAGTAGTTTAATGCCTTTTTTTTCAGCGTGGAGTTTGATTTTGCTTCTTAGTTAAAAAAATCTGTGATAGTCGAAATAGATAATTGCTAGGCACAGAAGTGAAACTATAAGGGGAATAGATAGGAGAAAACATCATGTCAACTAAATCAAAACCGAATAAAGTAAGACATTCAAATTACTTGTGGGGTTTAGGTTGTCATATTCTGCTTAATTTGAAGGTTCTCCTACTTATTTACATGTCAAAAGGTTAGGTGATAAGCCAGATAGCCAATGAAGTTTATGATGAGTGAAAATGGTGTTTAATCACGTTCTTTAGATTGATGAAATAAACTTTTTCTACTGATTGCATATTGTCCTTTTTGTGTCTTCTATGTCTCCATATATTTCAGCAAAAGGCCCAGTATAAACCCAGTAAAGCAGGAAGCGCCGGACGCAGGAAATCAACCACTAATAATGGTCCTCCACCACCATTAACAAGACGTCCTACTCGTGGATCAGGTGGCATTGGCACCATCTCAGAACCTGATACAGTTGCTTCAGATGTAAGATTGAAATAATAGTACATGTATAATCTTCACTCTTACATTTTGAATCACACAGAACATTGTACAGATTCTTGAATGCAATGTCATTGACAGGAGAAATTTTTTTGGCACTGATGAGGATTCAAATTGCCTAGACTAGGATATCATGCTGCTATAAGCCTAGAGGAATCTCAAAAGCACTGCCAGTGAAATCAAATTTTTTCTCACATTGAGGGGAATTGAACCCATAGCACCTAATCAGCTTACAGATAGTAGCTCAGCTATCAGATTCATTTTTTATCTGTTCATGAAGATTAAAGAGTCCCTAATTCTGTATTATGAATTTATCAGTCTTCAGATATATTAGCGAGAGGTAGATATGATGCCCCTTTAGGACCAAATGCAAGATTGACCAATCAAATACAAGAATATTTAGACCAGACAGGTTTAGAGACTAATTTTAAAATGGTATTAAATAGACTGTTAAATCGTACTGATCTACCCTATAATCCTTATCCTGGTTTTGCTGTTAGAATGAGGAAATTTGCAGAAAGGTAAGAATAAATCATTTTGTCTCTTTCTAATTTGGTATGTCGACTGTCAATTCTATGACTCAGTTAGTATTGTCACAAGCCCAACTGGCTAGAATAAATGTTTGTCATGTTTTCAAAATTGGTTGTTTTTAAAGTGAAATGAGAATAAGATTACCATATAAAGTACTTGCAGGCCTAGGGTAGAAGCAAGACCTACATAGTACTGCCATTCTTAGTCTTTTCGAAACTTTTAAGGAGTCTACCACTATACAACTTTTACTCTTGATTTTGCCATATTTTGGACGAGATTTTGATTAACGGAATTGTCTTGCTTGTACGTATTTTTATTAGAAGCAAGAACTATATTTCAAAATGCTATCTCATGAAGTTAAGTTTATTGAATTTTTAGAATAAAATATGTATATAAGATTAAATTTATCTGGTGGTAGTGACTTTAATTATCTCCCTTGACACACTAAATAACTTACATATTGTTGTTTTGTTTTTCTAGATTTTATCTAGAGGGAGATACCACTGAGAAAATTGAAATGGCTATTGGTAGGTAAAACTTATGATTGCAGGCTAAATGATAGAGCCTAGCCAAAATTCAGTTGACTTTAGTTATTTCATTTTTCAAACAGCATGTGCTCTGAATTAGTCGAAGGGGCTGACATGAAAAAAAAATGTTTAGTTGTTTGGTTGGAACAATTAACTGAGGACACAATCATGTTCGACAAATTGTGAACGCCATAGATCCCTTAAAAAATCAAAAAGGGGAGAATAATATTGCTGTCCTAGCAAAATGTTATTTGTAGTACATTGTGTTGCCCATCTTCATAAGCTCAACCACGCAAAGAAAATTTATTCGTAAAACTCCAATCATTTCATATGTTCTAAATATTGGTATTTCATTTACTTTTATTCTATTTTTGAAATATTATTTTTCCTTCAGGAAAGTTACTACAAGAAACCTCACTATTAAATCTGTATACATTAAAAGAGAATCCATGTGTTTGGGGATTGTCTAGTTTGTTACCTACAGTTAACCCTGGAACATTATCACATTATAAATGGTTACTAGAGGATATCACACCTACAACTGATGATATTATCACAGAAGAAGATTTTACAGTATGTGTTTGAGTTTAGCATAGATGTGGATACATGTTCCATAAAAGATGGGATTTAATGGGATTGTAAAGAGGCTTACTCATTTTTTTATGTGTGTTGCAGCAAACTGATGCTTTTCCCAAGTCTTCTAATAGGTTTATTTCTAAAATTTTATATTCATATTTCTATATTTCCCAAAGAATGGCTTTGTATAGTTTTTAAATGTGCATCAGAAACACTTATATCTTATAAAGATGGAGAATAAGCTTTGACATAGAGTTACCAATAACAATTTCTGACAAAAAAAAGCAAACCTCTGATAAAATATACTTCACAGGATTTGTTTTTGTTTTCTTTTAGGTACTTCCAGTAGTTGCTATAGTAGGACCAACTGTTTTCCTGGGTTCATTTTATAACCAAACACATTTACTACAACTGAGAATTACTTATATTATTGCTGGGCCTGATGTGTCTCAGGTAGGAGATTGATCATCTTATTAAAATCTTTATGCTAGCAAAAGATAGATAGATAGAAATTAGGAGTAACACTGGATTGATTTCAGAAGCATTTACTGTGGCATCAGAATATTAAGATCCCTTGACAGTTGTTCAAAATATCTCTTACTGGCTCATTCTTCCACTTTTTTTAATTTTATTTTAGGGTGTACCATTATTTGTCAACAATGTAATGAGAGATATTGATGATCTAGATAACAGTAAACAACATAGACTGCTAGGTATTGTACTGTTAGACTATTTAAAAGCAAATTCCTTATAGGGACATATCTTTCAGATGTAATAGATATGTACGAAAATGATTCCTTCAAAAATATCTCAAACTAGAAATTTATTTTCCTATTTCTATAGATGTATATGGCAGTGGACATCACAAGAAAAAGATGACTCACACATGAATATGAAGGCTCAAATTTTGACAGTGAGCTGTTCTGAAACTTATACGATTGGTCAAAAAACTAGCCAACCTGTTCCTTTAAGCGAAATTTAGGGGTATAGATCGTATTAAAATTAACGCAATTTTAAATTAATTTAAAAGCAAGGGCTCTTCTTATTTTTATTTATAAAACATCCATAAGAAAATATTTTTAAAGCAAACTTGTGACTATCATGTTTTTTTTTTCATGTTTGTCAAATTCTATAATTAGGAGTCAATGTTCCAATTCGTATTAGTGGTGAGGGAAAAACAGCAGAATGGAGTTCAAGTTTCTGGGATCCAAATTCCATACAAGAAGATAAGGTAAAATTTTATTTTGGAAGTTTTTTCACAAACATGCTAATATAAGATGGTGTATAAGTGTTTTTACTTTAAAACTAGATTTCCATTTCTTTAATGTTGTTCAGCTGAAAAGAAAATCATTTATGTTGTTGGCATTATTTTTGAATTTTTACATCCTTGTAAATTATGTAAATTATCCTGTTATTTGGAAAATCTATCTTGATTGCATGTATCTTGACTTTTCAAACAAATTTCTTGATATAGGTTGAGAGGTTTTTGGTGTTTTACCATTATATGATTTATTGCTACTTGTCTTCTATTTCAGGCTGGATTCCTACAGCAAATCAGTGATGCTGTAATTGGTAATAGATATATAAATGTAGAGGTAGGATATTTTTAGTATTAGCAAAACAAGTTAGCTGACTTATTATTTTTTACTTTTTTTTGTTGACAGTGTGTTTTTTCAGATGATCCAAGTTCATAATTCACTAATTTAGCTAATTTTCATTTTGACAGTGTGTATTTCGTGTAGATCCCACTAATCAGATGTCTTATGTTAGAGGACAGAAACAATATGCTTTAAATTTTATTGAAATCACCGATACTATAACAGAAAATGGGTTTGTATAAATCTTGTTATATATATCAAGGGAAAAATATCAAAGAATTTTTTTTATTATTTATTGTTTAATTTTCTATGAAATTCTTGATTTTCATTTTAAATGTGGTTTTTGAGGGGTCGTTATTGTCCACAGTGAATATTTTGTAGGTATTTCTTGCCAGCATTTTATGATTATTTTTAGTGAACTTGCAGGAACTACAGACATATAATTGAAATGGTGCAAATTGAATATCTGTTTTTCTGATAGACATAAAAAGTTTAAAAACTTACTTTACCAGAATTTTTTAAAGATTATGTAACAATCTATTAAAAAAATATATTAATTTTAGGCTTTCCTGTTTTTCTGAGTTTCCTATGTCTTCCCTACATGAAGGAGTGTTTTTAAACCAAACTCAAGCTGAACACTATTTCTGTATCTTTACACCTCAAACAGAAGAAGCAGATTTACAGAATATACATATTGGATCTGGTAAGGTTTTTTGACATCTGGGTTTTAGTATTGATAGAAGTGTGACCTTGAATAAATTATCTTTCCTCATTATTTCAATCCACCAAGTTGCAAATGGGTTGGGATAATCTGGGATATATCAATTTCAAAAGGTTTGCCCCAGGACCAACTGGTTGAAAGAATCCACCTGAGTTGTTTTTCTTGTAAAAAATTTCTTTGTTTCTTTTTTTCCATGTTTGTAATCTGCATCTGAATCAAATCACTAGGAGAAAATCAATAATAGTAATAATAATTAGAAAAAAAATCCAATGGCTGTCCTGCATCATTGAAAATTAAAGAAGATCAGGAGTCAGTAGAAAGAGGAAGAAATATTTGACTTGAACCAATTTAATTTCAGCTCGTGGAATGACAAGACAGAGTTCTACAAGAAGACTATCAACAAGTTCTCAGGGTGCCAATGTCAGTGGCTTACAGAATCATGTTTATCAACAGTTAGAACGTTATAAACCACAGAAAATTAGAATAGATGGTTTTAAACTAGGAGGTGATACTGGTAGTGGTCCATTTGCTTGGCAAATTGTCTCCCCTTTAAAGTAAGTTGTTTTCCCACCTAAATATTTAGAATGAACATACAATTTAGATTTTCAAACTTGGACAATAAGAGAGTTAATTCATCCATAGACCTACCCAGTGCCATAAATATACAACAGAATCCCTCTATAATCTGATGAATCCATTGAACAATGTTTTATGGATTTATCAAATTATACAGGGATTCTGAAAGTGCAAAATGAAAAAAAAATTCTTAACTCTATTTCAGATCCCATTACCAAAGAAATATAGCTAAAAATAGTCCTACCAATGATTTATTTACTACAGTTTATAATGTTTTATTATTAGTGCTTATGGAGAGGTATAAATCTTTATCTTATAAATGTGACCTTCTTTAAATTTGCTTCTTCTACTTTTAACTGACCATAAATTTTTGGAAAGAAAGATATTTTTGATGACCTCTTTAGGCAAATTAAAAATTAAAGGGACATTATACATTTGGAAGAAGTCGACTTTGCATTTTCGACTTGGTAAAATGATTACCCATCCCTAATTGCATGGAATCCTATTGTAAGCAAGTTGTGCCCCCTTTTGTTTAACTTGTCATTTCTTTGTGTATCATGTGATGTTCATTCATTCATGGAAACCATTCTGTATTCTATAGAAAACTCTGATAACTATGTCATGTGCTGTAAGCTTTGAATATCATTGGACCCAAGACAGATATATGACAATTAATACTTCATTAATGTAGTCAAGTGTTATTATTTCTATGACAATTTTTTCAGGTCATCCTATTCCCCTACATTATTAATAGAAATCTATCGTTTATTACATGGTACACCAGGGCGTTTAAATTTATTAATGGAACAAAATATATCTATCAGAGCGTTATTACGAGGTTTTGCCAATGTAAGTAATATCATAAGATTTATAAAAGATTTTACTTTGTGGCATTTGCACACTTACAATTCTCTGTGATGATACATTGTCATTGTGGTTGACAATTACACAAAAAAAAACAGAAGTGTACAGAAAAATAATTTACGTTGGCTGTACTATGTACTTCTTTTATACCCTATAATTATTATTCAAAACCACAAGCCCATTTAACCCTTTGATAATTAAGTGTAAAAAGAATAAAACGTCATATACCCGAAAAATGAATCAGATGTAAAAGATATATCATATATTTTCGACTTTATATCTCTATTACAAGATATTTACTAGAAAGATATAAATCAGATATAGTAGATATATCCTATATTTTAGACTTTATATCTCTTTTACAAGATATTTACTAGAAAGATATATATCAGATACAGAAGATATATCCTATATTTTAGACTTTATATCTCTTTTATAAGATATTTACTAGAAAGATATATATCAGATATAGAAGATATATCCTTTATTTTAAACTTTATACCTCTTTTACAAGATATTTACTAGAAAGATATAAATCAGATATAGAAGATATATCCTATATTTTAAACTTTATACCTCTTTTACAAGATATTTACTAGAAAGATATATATCAGATATAGAAGATATATCCTATATTTTAAACTTTATATCTCTTTTATAAGATATTTACTAGAAAGATATATATCAGATATAGAAGATATATCCTATATTTTAGACTTTATATCTCTTTTATAAGATATTTACTAGAAAGATATATATCAGATATAGAAGATATATCCTTTATTTTAAACTTTATACCTCTTTTACAAGATATTTACTAGAAAGATATAAATCAGATATAGAAGATATATCCTATATTTTAAACTTTATACCTCTTTTACAAGATATTTACTAGAAAGATATATATCAGATATAGAAGATATATCCTATATTTTAAACTTTATACCTCTTTTATAAGATATTTACTAGAAAGATATATATCAGATATAGAAGATATATCATATATTTTAGACTTTATATCTCTATTACAAGATATTTACTAGAAAGATATAAATCAGATATAGAAGATATATCCTTTATTTTAAACTTTATACCTCTTTTACAAGATATTTACTAGAAAGATATAAATCAGATACAGAAGATATATCCTATATTTTAAACTTTATACCTCTTTTACAAGATATTTACTAGAAAGATATATATCAGATATAGAAGATATATCCTATATTTTAAACTTTATACCTCTTTTACAAGATATTTACTAGAAAGATATATATCAGATATAGAAGATATATCATATATTTTAGACTTTATATCTCTATTACAAGATATTTACTAGAAAGATATAAATCAGAAATAGAAGATATATCATATATTTTATTATCTCTATTACAAGATATTTACTAGAAAGATATAAATCAGAAATAGAAGATATATCATATATATTTCAGAATGATATTTTTATTATATTTTATAGTATATTATTTAGACTGATGATATCTTTATTATAGGATATCTACTAGAAAGATATAAATCAGATATAGAAAATAAATTACATATTTTAGACACATGTATTTAGACTGATGATATCTTTATTACAAGATTCGTGTATTTGCTATTAAAGATATAAAAGATACAAATTTACAATTTAGACTGAAGATATTACACTATAAGATACTTGTATTTACTATTAAAAGATGTAAAGTTATATTTTAGACTGATGATATTTATATTATAAGATATTTACTAGCAAGATATAAATCAGATATTGAAGAACTTTTATCCAGCAGCTTGTAAGTTCTATACATTTTCATTAAAAAACCCCATTGTCTCCAGGCAAAATCAGAGTCAAAAATCAATAATTGTAAAAAATACTCCTGATTTTTATATATATTCTTATGTACATGTAGTTGTCACATGTTTTAAATATGAAGTTGTGCTTGTTTTGTAGACAAGAAAGAAGTGACAATATGGTAGCCTGTGGTAGAACTTTATTAGCTAAAATAGATGATTTATTGGCTCCAGATGATTTCCAATTTGGTTCTGCTTCTCATCTTATGTTGGTATGTGTCTAATCCTTTTTATTTTTATCAATCTTAACATAAATAGGACAAACTTAACATTTGATAAATACATTTTTTTTTTAGTTTATAAACTCTTCATCTGGAGAGAAAAGGCTACCGAAAAGTCTAAACTTTCAGAATGATTGTAATGTAGCTATCTTATTAACTACTTCAATGTATCTATACCTTGTACATTTCAGATTGTGAACACTCTACGTAATATTAACTCTTATTGTCAAACAATGGCAATACAAGTAGCAGAAGATAGTTTACAATGGTGTCCTAAGTTAGTGGTAAGACCTTATCATCTCCCTTTAATGAGTCAAGGGAGGTAATATCTCATTTTCTTTGCAAGAATTTGTGAGAATTGGAAAGTCAATTTCATGTACAGGATTCATAAGATTCAAATTACTTGTTTTAAAGATTTTGGCTTGAGGATTAGATTGAAAGATTGTTCTTACTTCTTCAGGATTTGATAGAGAAGATGCAGAAGACTTTTCCAACAGAAATGCAAAGACCACAAACTAAATTACGTGATAAATCTGAACCCAAAAAGAAGGTACCTTTTATAATTATTTTTTGGGACCATGTTGAAGGAATTGAGATGACAGATGCCTATTACCAGTATGTTGGATTCTATATCAGTACACACACAATCCACTGGAGTATTTCGAAAGATTTTTATTTGGTCTATGTGTATAATTTCAGACTGGCACGTTAAAAAGAGAAGTTGATGAAGTTTATAAACATGGTGTAGAAGATGAAAATATTATTAAACATGAAAACAGTGGTAAGTTTAGATTAACAGTGCTCTGATTCAGAGCCTCTGAACATAGTGAAAAGTGATATTGGAAAATTGATGATTTAGCCCAGTGATCAGTCACTGTGACATCCAAAAATGAAAAAGGAAATTTGGAATTCTATTATTGAGCTTAATATTCATGAAACATTGTCAATAGTGATCAATCATAGAATGATTGAGCTTCAATTGTCTTCAGCTTATAAGTTCAGTAAAACCTATCTCATTTAAATGTAAATCACAATGTTTCATTTATTTATTTAATTTAATTTTTTGGGGAGTATGTTATTATCCTGCCATCCATCATCTTCAAAAATTCATCTTAATAACTTGTCAGTCAAGTTTTGGCCCAATAGCATGAACAACAGTATTAAATGTCAATTTTTAACTCTAAATGTTCCATAATTTCACAATTTAATAGGTAAATCATATATTTAAGAGAGTATTTAGGTTGAATATTCTAATGACCTACAATATGTGGTGAATAGCAATTGTGTTAGATCACGGATGACAAGTGTAGTTTCACAGAGAAAAAACATGAAACAATATGTATATTTTCATCAAATTTTTTATAACACAATCATTGAAAATTTAAAATATTGAAAATAGAAATCTTGATGAAATATATTTTATATATTAATATTCATGTATAGACATGTTTTGACAGTTATTAATGTACAGATGTGTATAGAAAGAGATACTTCACCTAAAATAATGTCCACTGAATCAGTTTTAATGAAGGTAAGAATCATTCACCTGTTTTATTGTTTGTAACTTTGCAGATAATATGACCTTTAATCTTGTGCCAGTTAGTGTTTAAAGACCCAAACAAGGGCATGTTATAATAATCTAGCTTGATGTTTGATCCCTTCTGCCAAATTGACTGAACTAATACTCCAAATAAAATGTCAGTTGTAAAAGAATTCATTTTCTTCATAAAGCTTATTATGCTTCTTCTTTTAGAGTGTCTGAAGAGCCAATTTAGTATGTTTATTAACGACATGTATATATGAGATTGAAATTTATTTTTCCAGTATATGATAGACACCCATCTGGATGAAACATGGTATAATTTCTTAGTAGAACTATTTACAGGGGAGTACTTACCACCAAATCCCTACGCCAGATTTATAACACGACTTAGAGAATGTGCTATGAGGTTTGTAAAGTGCTTATCTTTAAAGGGCATTCCGCTTTTTTGTAAAAGATTTTCATTATCAAAAACATTGTAAATTATACCTGAAAATATTTCTAAAATATGCTATTTATGTCTATGTATCTACTTGATCAAACTGAATTTGTTTTAAAAAGGTTAATTGAAAACTGAGAGTACTAATTATTAAGAAAGCAGTTTGACCTAGTTTTGGTGATTAGCTTTAAAATGGCTCTATACTATTAGTTGAAACATTTAGAAAACGTAGGAGACATATTTCTCTAGAATTGGGCGTTTATTTTACTCAAATTACAGTAGTTTTCAAACATAACGAAATTTAAGATGTTATATAATGATGGATATAATGGATTTTTTTAGTTGAAACTTTCAGATACCTTATGGGATACACTTCTGTAGATTTTGATATATAGTTTTCACAAATCTGACTGAAAAATTTTTTCGACCTACAAAAAAAGTGGAATGTTCCTTTAATCATCTACAACATGCTATTATTAAAAGCAGCTTTATTCTGCTGTTTTTTTCACAAGCACAACAGAATTTCAGAAAAAGTCTATTTTTTCATGAATTCCCTGAATTCTGTAGGGAACAATCCATTAATGCTTTCTAAATCTGGAAACAAGCAAACTCAGAATCTTCTCATTGAAAGATTTTAATTTTTAACTTTCATTAAAATTCAAATTTCAGAATGGATTTGTGTTTTGAAAAACCATCAGATTTATTAGAGAGAATAATGGATAATTCACCTAAACTGGTAGATTCAGAGAATTTTGTATATCAGCTCCCCAACTGTGATGTTTTTGGTAAGTTCTGTTGGGTCAAAGAAAGTACTTCAACCTGAAAGTCAAACGCACTGGACATTCGTTCTGTTTCCATACATTTCATGTATCTGTCTTTCGACTTCTGCCTTCATCTTTAAATTCAGAGGCTGTCAGTATACAATTTCTTAGGATAATATTGACTGTTGACTGCAGATGTGCACTGCTTTCCAACAAAGTTATTCTGACTTCTGCTAATAAGGTTTTTGTCAAAGGAAAATTATATCTTGTACTGTATTTCACTCTTTCAGGTCCACTGTCCATAATGTCTGTACTTGATGCTGATTCCTTCCTTCCCATAGCTCAAATAGTGGCTAAACATTTTATACCCAGAAATTATATACAGAGAAAGGGTCCTTTTAGGGTAAGATCAGTTCACTGTCATTTGGTAATACTCGTCTTTCACTAAGTGATTGACAAGCATGATTTGACTATACCAGCATTTTTCAATGGACAAATATTATAAAACTGCAGATAGCAGATCTAGTGCCAATCAAGAACTCTAGATTATCTTTATCCATTTTATAACTCTCAGGTTGGTATTTGTCCAGCTATAACAGGAAATACAGTGTATTATGGGAAATTACAGCCATATATACGTGAAATAACTATAGATGAACATTATTATATACAAGGTCCTACTGGCTGTGAAGATGATGTCAGGGAACTGTTTGCTAAAATAGGTATAGTAAACAACATTACAATAGTTTTGTTTCAAGTTTGAGTTTCAAATAACTTTGACTGTACAATTATATCTTTTGCATTATGCTTTAGAATGTAAATTTAAATTATGATGTGAAATATTCTTCTCCAGTGTTTTAAAAAACAACAAATTTATTCACCAAATATCCACATTGTTTTGTAAATAAGTAGGCTATGTTTTGCATTAAAGGAATTGTAAAGAGGTTTTCTTAAAATTTTATGTGTAACACTGATAGCATCAAGAAGTGATGTCATAAAACACGTGGTTTTAGTGGAATTGCAGGAACCACAGATGTCTGAATGAAAATTGGAATGGTGCAAATTGATGCTATCAGTGTTCATGATACACATAAGAAAACCTTTTTACAATCCCTTGAAATACCATTTTTTGATACTGTTATATCAGTATTTGCTTATAAACCACATAAAACCTTATTAATAACTTTCAGTCCACAGTCATGTATGTGAACTGATAGAAAGAAAGACCTATCCTGTTATGGGTGTTTATATGGGTGATGAAGAAATTCGTTGGCCATGGGAAGATATTCTCAATAAACGTAAAGGATTTTGGACTGAATTTGAGATGGTGGCATCCAGGAAAGAACCTGCTTATCTGAAGGTAAATTTTTTGCCAGTTGTCTTTTGATATAAGATGCTGCAATGGAAGAGTGCTTGACAAACTGTTGATCTAAATGGTACAAGATTTTCCTATGTTATTTAAGAGGCCAGAAAGAGAGTCTAAATTCCTGGTTTGATCAGTTAAGAGGGGAGGGGGGGGGGGGGGATGGGCTTGTGTCAACTGCAAGTTGTGTATGTTGAAGATCCCATGATAGTTGGAATATAGGTTAATGCTCTTGTGCTGTCAAAATTTTCCTCCCTGCACACTGCATGGCGTTGCCCATTTTCAATAGCCAAATCAGGTGCAGAAAATTAGATCATGATCATTTTATGTTTTCATTTGTTTGTTTTAGGCATATATTGTAATTGATGGCTGGCGATATGTTCCTGTTAAGAAGAATTTCCTGTTACATTTTCTAAATACTGATGGAATTGGGTAAGTTTTGAAAATTTGAGAATAAATTTATTGACATTGGCATCATATTAAATGTCTGTCTTATTTGAGTAAAAAGTGAAATGATTTCATATACTTTATTATTTTAGGCAAGAAAATATGTTTGCAGAGAATTCTAGTGGCTATTATCATAGTGTTTTCCTTTCCAAAGATAGGGTAGGTTTTTCTTGAATTTCTACTAATATTACATACTAATTCAGTGCAAGAAGAGACAATGGCAAATTCTTCTGAAACACCAGCCTTCAACAAGGTTACTAAGAGAATCCACATTACTAATAACATGTATGGTATCTTTATTATTCAGGCAGCATTCCATTTTCAAAATGGTGGTCCTCCAAGATCAGGTGATCCAATGAGTGATGCTAATATAAGATCTGTCTCTCTACAATTAAATGATATCATAACTTCTGCAAAACAACATGGTGATTGGCTGAAATTACATAGAGCATTACTATTAGAATCTACAATGAGTCAGGTAAAATTTACTAATTTAATTTTAAATAATCACAGTGAATCCAGAGAATATTACTATTAGAATCTACAATGAGTCAGGTATATATTGCTAATTTAATCTAAAATAATCACAGCGTGTCCAGAGAATAATCTGCAAAGTAAGCATTGCTGTTAGAATCTGAAATGAGTCAAGTTAGCATTGCATTGCTAATAGAATCTACAATGAGCCATGTAAGCATTGCTATCAGAATCTACGAGTCAGGTACACATTACTAATAGAATCTACAATGAGCCATGTAAGCATTGCTATCAGAATTTACAATGAGTCAGGTAAGCATTACTATAAGAACCTACAATGAGTAAGGTAAGCATTGCTATGAATATCTACAATGAGTAAGGTAAGCATTGCTATGAATATCTACAATGAGTAAGGTAAGCATTGCTATGAATATCTACAATGAGTAAGGTAAGCATTGCTATCAGAATCTACAATGAGTAAGGTAAGCATTGCTTTGCTGAAAGTATTTTTAGAAATTAATGCATCTTGGAAATTTTAGTTCAATCTGTAAACTTGTTAACATTGTTAATATTTTTTTATTCTTACAGAGACCAGATCATATAATAGAAAGTTGGAGAATGTTACATTCTATGGCATCACAAGCTGAATATGTTTATTGTTTAGGAATGTCATTGAGAGATCTGACCCTGTTTAACACAGAATATATTAAATGGTTAAATTTAATAGAATCTGATGTAGGTACTGAGGTGAACAGTTTTGCCAACTCAACAATTGGGAAAAAGGTAATGTTTGACAACTCATGAAATTTTGTTGTTTTGATACAATATGTCAATACTCTACTGATGTTATTTTTTGAAATGTTTTGCAGAATGAACTCTTTGACAAAAAAGTATTACAAAGCAAAGGTGCAGTTTACATCTAGCTGGAATGCAGATATTGAACTGATTTACTTGTTCTTTATTCTATTACCTCATTTCAGGAACCTCTAGACAGTAGAATATTAAGTAAAATGACAAGAGCATTTGAACAGAAATTAACTGATGTTACTGATTATAGAATTTCCATGATGGCTGATGATTTCTCACAAATAGTTCTAGATAAGTTAAAACTGTCCTAGAAAAAGATAAACAAACTGAAGAAACATTTCCTGTAGCAGATACAGAGGTAAGTGGTATTTAATCATAGCTGACTCTTTTCTATAAAATTGAATTTCTTGAATTTTTTCTATATGATTCAAATTAACAGCATCATGGAGTCCTTTATTTTATATAAAGCCAAGGAGTGTAATTTATTCATGGTATTTTCACCTTCCACTTTGACCTATCACCTAGTACAAGACACATCAAGGTCATGTGATCTTCAACAAATTTCAGATTCAAAAATCACTGTTAGAGCAGTTGAACTGAATATGGAGTTGGGTCATTGGAACTTACTGTTTGTGACAACTTCTTTTTTAAAAAAAAAAATAAAAACATGCATTTTAAATTTCAGACTCTGCAAGTATTAGAAGAGATATGTTATATGATAAAGACAATACAAGATACAATATCTAATGATGTACATAATATTAGTCCACAAGCTCAATCTGGTATGAGTTCTATTGAGAATGATGAAGCCAAAAGACCTATTAGTGTAGCATCTACTCAATTAGACAATCCAAATAGATATCATCATCCACCTAAAGCTATTAGAGCTATGCTTAGTGAAGGTGATGTTTACATGTCAAAGCCAAACTATAGGTGATTGACTCTTCCTTCTTTCAATGTATTAGCCCCACAAGTGAAGATGAAGGTTCCATATCTAACCAAAATTATGAATAATTGATTTTATACTTCGAACCAACAATCCAACAATATAACATATTAAGAGAATGCCAAAGTTAATTTCAGTGTGATTCAGCATCTACTAATTTAGTGCCTTTACCAAGAAAAACAATTGAAAGCATCATCTACCAATAATAAATGAAGCTTTATTGAAGATGATGATGATGATGTACTGGTACATTTTAAAGCTGAACTGACCCATGAATGATTTTCTAAACTCTAAAGCTAACCTTTAGAATATGTAAAATTTAGCCAGACGTGTTATAAGTCATTTAGAAACCTTGTAATCCATAATCTTACAGTTTCATACATCTGATTCAACACAATGTGCTACGTTATTTAAATTGATACTTTTTTTTATCTGATTTTTTTGTTAATTGTTCTATATATTTTTTACACTTGTTAATTTGCTTCCATCCTATATATATATGAACATTAGTTGTAACATTTCTTAAAATAAAAATTTAGATTGTTTGTGAAGATATATATTTGTGAGAAAAACCAATATTAAGTTTATATAATAGACAGTGGCTTATTTGTAACTTTTATCAACTGTGCCAACATTTTAAAATCATGGACTGCGTAGTTGCCTGTTCTCTGTCAGACATCCATTCCCAGGTCTGTATCCTATATTATACATACAATGTAAATCATAAATATTTGTGAGAGGTTGGTGCTACATTAAAGATGGGTTCCCTCATTTTTATTTATGATAATGCTAATACTTATATTAATATAAGTAGAGGTTTTAATTATATGCAATAAGAAAATAATGATATGATTAAGAATACATGATAATTCATTCATCTTAAAGTATTCTATGTATGAAGTATTATATCCTCCTCTACCATATTTCTAACAGATAAAACAAATACAACTATTGTTGTCATTTAATAATAGAAAAATACAGATTTGATACACAGTAGAAATATAGTCCTCAGTCATAATTTATCAATTAATAATATCAATAAAATTATCTAAAAACATCCAAGAGAATGACAAATGGACAAGGTTTTCAAGAATGTGATCAATCAATTTCAAGATGAAATTTGTTTTTAATTTTACTAGTGTATATGCAGGCAACATAAATCCCAAGCTTTTCCTGATAGCAGCACCAACTAATATGGTTAATACTTGCTATACTTCAGTGACAGCAAGACCATTAGTGTAAATGATAAATATTTTCTTTGCCAGCAATTAATAGCTATTTTCAGATTGTAAATGCAAAGTCTGATTGAGCCATGAATCACATAAAGGAATCTTGATAACGTTTGCTGTAGCTTTTGTTTATTTATATGGAAAAAACATCTGACAGGACTGTTGACTCTATTGACCAGACATTAGTGGCAGGGCATCTCAAATGTCCAAGAGACACAAGCCTTCGCCAGACATCGAGTAAAGTTTGGCTAGTCATTCAATGTCGGTCAAATACAAAATTGAATGATTACTTACTGGTGGGTAACAAATTCATCTATCAGTGTTAGGTTAAAAATAACATAATACAGACATGCTGTAGATAGCTGAAATTGAGCCTTATGGAGCGGAAAACAAAAATTTATTGAAGGATTGAATCATTCAATTTGAATGCCATGACAGANAAATAATGCTTCCAAAAAATCTAGCTATAAACATAATCTATCTTTATCCATATATCAGAAAAACGAAACAAAATATAATAATCATAAACTAACCAATTACAATAATAACAGGATTTCTTCATTGTTAAAATGTTATCCAATGTATTCAATAATATCAGAGTAAAATATTTTAACCATAACAATTTACAACAAATTTGATAACAAACAATATAGAGAAATTACATGTATAACAAACATAATAAACATAATTTTTAAAGTAACATAACATAACATTATCAAATATTATTTTGTTCATTAATTGATCAATCAATACAATAGTAACATCTAGCCACAAACCATCAACATATCCATTTTACATTACAACATTCTAGGAATTCATTCAATAAGGAAGAATGAAAAAACATACTTCTATGGCTTTAAGTTGGGATTGTTACTGAATCAAAAAAGAAATAAAAATGCATCTACTTATACATTCAAAATCTAATCAGACACCATTGAAGTAACAAAGACCTTATGTTTGCCAGTCAATCATAAAAAAATAAATTGGACTAAAATTCAGACATGTATGTTAATAATAAGCAGCTACTATACTCAATCCTTTTACTAGATCAACTAGTTCTGTTTCTAGGTTATATAATGATGAATCTATAGGTATATAACCATTGACACCTAGTTCTAACAATTTCTCTTTCCACTCTGGCTTCTTATTTATCTCTAATAGTCCTTTAGTTATTTGGTCTTTTAGTTCTCCTGGAAATATATTTCCAATATGATGATAAAATTGGTATATCATTTCAATGAGGTTTGCATTTTTCAGTAAACCCTTTTGTAACGCGTTTTATTTTTTCAAATTGATTTTATCTTCAGATTCCTGTTTGATTTTATCATAAAAAGTCAAGAGATTCTTAAAATGCACACATTTCCATGCGAAATATCAGTACAGAAATGCCCAAAAAATCTTGTATTTTTTCACTTAATATTCCATTTAAGGAAAATACCTTGCTATGACTCTGGTTTACATCCCCAAAAGTTCTTCATAAATGCTCAAAACCATAGAAAACTTTCTTACTATGGCAGTTTTCTGTATTAAGTGTGTACCAGTATTCATAAATTAAATTTTATTATGATTACAGTACAACAGAGGCTTTAAAAGTCAAGCATGTAAATGTCAAATTACCTGGTAATCTTGAGTTAAAGACAACAGGATAAACTGGCATTGGACCAAAAGAAGTAATAATAGTAATTCTATCTTTAAGATGTGGATGAGATTTAAGATATGCTGATAATGTATTAGAATCTATAGCTGCAGCATCTACTGTACCATCTAATACCATTTCTATTGATTTAAGATGGCTACCTACAAATTATAAATAATAATGGAAAGGCAAATCTGAAAGCAATCTGAAATAGATTAAATGATATTCAACTGATTGTGATTCTTTTCTTTGGCTACTGTAGACTGATGATAACCTGTGAGCAAAATGGAGAGAATTTGACTGACATAATCCAAATCTAACCCTTTTTTTGATGCAAGGCAGTGTAGAATGGGTGAAATTTTGCCAGGACAAGGGCATTAGCCTACTCTTCTCTTGATTTTAATCTATAAGGTGCACAGCCTGAAGCCATGGGGCTAGACTAAACACTTCTTCCATGTAATAATGAGATGAGATGGAAACATCTCCACCATCTTCCACTGACCAACATCGCTTTATAAATCTTACCTGAACATAATATATTACCAAAAAATGTTGAATTAACACCCATCTGTTTAAGATTCTTCAACACAATTAAATTACCACTGACAGATAAGTTATCATTATATGCCCATTTATGTCCTTTTAAATCTTGAAATTCTTTATATTTCAATCTAAATGAAATGAAAATGCATAATATTGACGAAGAGAAAAGGAATAGAGGAAAACAGAAACTATCAATAATAACATCTGATTGATAATATATTTACTCATTAAAACTGTTAATAATAACATCTGATTGATAATATATTTACTCATTAAAACTGTTAATAATAACACCTGATTGATAATATACTTACTTATTGGAACTATCAATAATAACATCTGATTGATAATATACTTACTTATTGGAACTATCAATAATAACATCTGATTGATAATATACTTACTCATTAAAACTGTTAATAATAACACCTGATTGATAATATACTTACTTGTTGGAACTATCAATAATAACATCTGATTGATAATATATTTACTTATTGAAACTATCAATAATAACATCTGATTGATAATATACTTACTTATTGGAACTATCAATAATAACATCTGATTGATAATATACTTACTCATTAAAACTGTTAATAATAACACCTGATTGATAATATACTTACTTGTTGGAACTGTTAATAATAACATATGATTGATAATACACTTACTTATTGGAACTATCAATAATAACATCTGATTGATAATATACTTACTCATTAAAACTGTTAATAATAACACCTGATTGATAATATACTTACTTGTTAGAACTGTTAATAATAACATCTGATTGATAATATACTTACTTATTGGAACTATCAATAATAACATCTGATTGATAATATATTTACTTATTGAAACTATCAATAATAAAATCTGATTGATAATATACTTACTTATTGGAACTGTTAATAATAACATCTGATTGATAATATACTTACTTATTGAAACTATCAATTATAAAATCTGATTGATAATATACTTACTCATTGAAACTATCAATAATAAAATCTGATTGATAATATACTTACTTATTGGAACTATCAATAATAACATCTGAGAAATAAACTGGTCTATTCTGGGAATTCTTATGAATATGTAATGGTGCTGCTTTACATAGTTCTACATTGGGATTATCTCTTAATCTAATATAACCTGAACCACACATAAATCCTATAATATATATACACAATAGCGGTTCATATTTATATATAATTTTTCTTTATCAAATTCTAAATTAAGTCCAATCCCATTCAAATGGGAATCTTAGTTCACTTTGTTTCTCATATAATACTCAATTCCCACATGACATTATGTAAGTTTCTAGTTGGACTAAGCCTAATAAACTAAAACCATAAATGAATGTATGATAATTTTTATAAGCTTACCCTTTTCTGAATGATATTCAAAACAATAAATAAGTGAGGTTTGCTATATATGTTTGACACAGGAATTTGTATAAGTTTTCTAAATAACGATGTAAAAACAAATCTCACCAATATCAACTTCATCTGTAGTAAAGAGATCTACCCTTTCTGAAGGGGGGCAGCTCCATCTAGATTCATGAATAATGTAAGCTTCACGCCCTGTCACTTGTTCTAAGTAATGCATCAAGGTTTCAAACAGCTCAATAGGTATACCAGGAGATAGATATGTTATCAGGCGTAATTTTTCAGCCTTTTTAGGTTGTGGATTTGCTGCTGATGCAGACATTTTTAACTTTTCTGAAAAATTAGAATTTGTATGCAATCAATGGTGAAAAATTTTCTATAACACTAAGGTATACTTATATCACCAGTAATGCTGGTTCTTCTAACATTCTAAGATTACATATATGTATATCAATATTAGCAGAATAATAGTTACCTGTACATCATGTAATAGAAATGAAATGAATGGAGTTTTATGTCTTACTTTACTGCACCATGTGGACTAATGAAGACGGGCAACGCCATGCAGTGTGCAATTATGGAAATTTTTGCCAGGACAGCAGCATTAGCCTGCTCCTTTTCGATTCCAACTGTCGAGGGATCTTTAACATGCACAGCCTGTAGCACACAGGGCCTCGGTTTATTGTCCCATCTAAACGACTAAACGCTTTTTCCATGCCAGTCCCTCTTACCCGCATCACTGACAAGGGGAAACCGGGTTGAAAAATCCAAAGATTGTCATTTCATTATCATCACCAGATACAATGCAAATTGTATAGTTTATGCAGTAAAAAACCCTAAGTAATCTAAAGTTTAAATGCATCTGTAGCATACTCTAGCAAGATAAGGATATTATGATTACCCCTTATCCCTACCTTACCCTAATCAAGACATTACGAAGTGCTGTATCAACCTAAAAATTTTAAAATTTTATGCAGTAGTTTAACCTATATTTGTGCACATAAATTAAGTCATTACAAGACTATTTCTTACAAAATGTGGTTCAGTAAATATTGTGGTTGTATTGACTCTAGATCCAAGCATTTGATATCATGTGGATCAGAAAATTTGCATAAACTAGGCCTACTAAAATTATTTGATTTTACAAGCCTATCTGATTTTGTACGCCGTAAACATACAGATAAGTATTTGTTCCTGGTCACTGACTGTCACTCTTCAAATGCATGACACAAATATTAAATGACATGATGTCGATGATCGGAAGATCCGGATTTGTCGATGTCGGCATTACAATATTCCTATTTCACACGCAAACATAAATTATCTTCAATTCAAATCTATACAGCAGTTCTTCCCCAAACCCTTACCATCAAAATTCTCACCAAGTGGGGGAAGGATAATCTTCAGTCTAAATTAAATTTTTTATGAACGTGAAAGGTGAACAGCTGAAACTTCTTATCCCGTTATGTAGTGTTGATATCAACTGGGCAGACAAATAGGTTGCAGAAAAAAACTAAGATCAAGTCCGCAGACGATAGCCAGCACACAATAAGAAAAATGAACTTTTTGACTCATCCTCGCGATTCAGCCAATCAACGAAAGCGACACAAGGAAAATTATCGGGATTTCCTCCAGGTACACAAATCATGTCATAACAACACAGGAGTCGTTTTTGTCACCCGATTCGATTAGGTTTCGTTTTGCTAGTACAATTAGGTACGATTTGCAGTGGCCCACAAATGTGATACCAGCGATTAGGCAATATGGCTGACTGCACTGTCAACAAAAGAAGGTTGTCTTTAATATTAGCCAATGACATATATGTTTATATAGACAACATTGATATAATTAGCCACTAGTATAAATTACCAATAACGTGACACCTAATCGAATCGCCTAACCACCCCATGGGACGGTTAGGTCGATTAGCCTAATCAGTTTAGGTAAACTGTCTCTCAAATGCACCGATTAGCCCAGACCCGTGGCCTGACCAGTACTCCTGGGGGGTCAAACGTGCAATCGAGGGGGGCAATTTAGCAAAGCATCTTGACAGAGGATTAAACGTTGGGAAACGGACTTTCATGGAATATTTTAGATTAGAGATTATTTTTGTTTAAACACACAAGTTATAATACGTTACATTTTTATTGCCGTTTTAGTTTAAACATAGTCGGGTATGTTTTATGGCAAAACTTTGAACAAATACGTCCAAGTTAATTTTCTGGGTACGGTTTCTGTTGAAGGCAAGAAGAACAAGATTGCGCTGGCGAAGCTGAGTCATAGATCGTCGTCGTGGTGAGTCAACGCGAGTAAGAGTCGAAAAGCTACTTTCACAGTGTGTCAGTCGTAGTAGTGTCGGAACCATCAAACAATTTGTCTTTTTTGATCAAATATTTATCCATTTTTCCTACTTTGGGTTGTTTGATTCATATGAATAAAATTTAGGATAATATACGTCTAATGGTTAGTATTTATAATCAACCAATGAAATCTTTTGAATTTTGAGACAGATTACAATCCAGTATCAGATCAATAATTTTGTTACCAACGGCGCTTTACTGCAGACTTTTTATGATTTTCAACGAACTCAATTGTATCAAATTGTCTATTCTAATGTAATCAAATTTTAAAATGTTATGAAAAGCTATGATGTCTGGTTTCTTCCTCAGCTAAGTATAAACAGAAAGATATTTAAAAACAGTTCTTAAGTAGGCTTACAGATAGGAATACTTCTACTATTTTGTTGAACTATTTCGCATAACGCAGCCCTGAAAGCCATAACCTTATTTTTCGTTACGTAAAATTAAAATATCGAAATACTCATCATATGATCGACAATGCAAGAGCAGCTGACCCGGTGCACTTACTCCACCATAAAATGCCTGACCAGGATGACCACTGTTGGCCATTCACTCAGACTCAGTTACCTGCCGCTCCTATTTGACTCAGGAAAAAGAAAAGGTGTATTTTAAAAAAGCGACCGGTACATTTTTCTAGGGGGGCAAGATTTGATTTATCTAGATTCTACTAGGTGTAGTAGCTCGGAATTTCTGCTTTTAATTCAAGTTTGTAATTACTGACAATAGGCAATGTTTGTCGACATCAAAATCACACTTACCACCGTTTTGCCACTTTTAAACGAACAAATATGAAGATAAATGAATATTTTTAAATTCAACGAGGTGTTCATCTTACACCTTGACCGCGATGGACTTTTGTCTTGTTTCGCTAAAGTTTGTGAACGCAGCAACTTTATTGGATTGTATACTGATGAATACAGCAAATCTGAGCCTCCGACAGAAAGACTCTAAATAAGAGTACTCGCTAAATCGAGGGCTCTGATTGGCTGTCGAAAATTCTATCAAATCGCTGACCGTCAAACAAGAAATACGTAATAAATTGGCCATATAGTGAAGATGGTAATCTGCACAATCCGAAATAACAATCATATTGAGAGTATAGTTTTTGTTCTGGAAGAAGAAACTAAATCTGTTTTAAATCTATTTCTTTTTTATTTCTGAATGTAACATAGAGATGATGGTTAGTGTTTGAAAATGGACCCTAGATGTTTTGGACGGCAAAGCGTATGGAAGGATTTCATTATGGGTTTTGGACATGGATTCTAGAGTTATTATGTTCAGATTTCTATGTTACAAATTTTAATTGCTTGTATAACTATTAAATTAGAAAATGTTATATATTTTTTTTAACTAGTTTATGCCCATAAATGAAATATTGAATAGTTGTCTATTTTTTTCACACACAATATAAAATAGTGGTACAGACTCCCTGTTGTTCTGGTGATACCCGGATTTTGCGTAGGAAATATGCATAGGTTTCTCCTTACTATTGACGCAGATCGAGTTGTAGATGGGACATGGGCAGTTGCGACGCCAGGGGGAACATCCCCTCCTTTAGAAATTTGTTTGCACCTCCAACTGTACCCCACTTTATTTTAAACAAAAATCGAAAATTAGATTTTTATACGTTTTTGTCTCAAAACACGTGTCAAAATCAATATATTAAAAGCAGAAATTCCGAGATACTACACCTAGTAGAATCCAAAGAATATTCATTTATCGTACTATTTCTTCTAGCCTAAAAGTGGAAAAACGGGATTAACAGTAGTTTTGATGTCGACAAACATGACACAGCTGCTTAACATGGCCTAATGGAGGTGTTTCGGGTCGAGTTTTCGGATTAAAATCAGAAAAAAAGCTACTACACCTAGTAGAATCTAAACAATATACATTTATCGTAATATTTATCCCAATTTAAAAGTGGTAAAACGGGGTAAATAGTAAATTTGTTTGAAGTCGACAAGCCGCTTAAAGTGAAGCCTCATGGGGGTGTTTCATGTCCAGCTTTCGGATTAAAAGCAGAAATTCCGAGCTACTACACCTAGTAGAATCTAACGAATATTCATTTATCTAAATATTTATCCTAGTCTAAAAATGACAAAATAGGGTTAATAGTAGTTTTGATGTCGACAAACGTGATACATAACTTGTGAAAATTATCTAAATGGGGGTGTTTCAGGTCGGGTTTTCGGATTAAAAGCCGAAATTCCTAGTAAGTACACGCAGTAGAATCTAATTAATATTTATCATAGTCTAAAAGTGGCAAAACGAGGTTAATGGTAATTTTGATGTCGACAGACATGATTTATAGCTGCTTAACATTAGTTTAATAGGGATGTTTCGTGTCGACTTTTCGAATTAAAAGCAGAAATTCCGAGATACTACACCTAGTAGAATATAAAGAAAATTCATTTATCTTAATATTTATCCTAGTCTAAAAATATCAAAACGGGATTTATAGTAGTTTTGATGTCGACAAACGTGATGTATAACTTGTGAAAATGAGCTTAATGGGGGTATTTCAGGTCGAGTTTTCGGATTAAAAGCAGAAATTCTGAGCTACTACACCTAGTAGAATCTAAGTAATATTTATTTATCGTAATATTTAACCTAGTCTAAACGTGGCAAAACGGGGTTAATGGTACTTTTGATGTCGATATACATGACTTATAGCTGCTTAACATTAGCTTAATAGGGGTGTTCCATGTTGAGTTTTCGGATTAAAAGCAGAAATTCCCCCGTTGATGACCCCACCCCAATTATTTTTTAAAAGTTACAAAATTTGGTTAAGGGAGAAAATAAGGGGTGAATTGTGCTCAGTGTAGTACAATAGTGATTAGAAACCTTAAACTCACCATTGTTTAAAAAGTCTTGATGAACAGGTCTTTCTAGTCAGTTCGAAAATTCTTGATTGGGTACGTTCGATTTGTCTACTAATTAAGGCTTGCTTCTACAACGGTGGGTTCGTTTTGCCGCATTGCCCAACTTGCCGCATCGTGTCCAACTCCACAAAAACGACTTGTAAAACAAAACTAAAGGTTTCTGATAAAATCAGGAAATGGCCATTTGTTTCATATGAAACGAAATATTTCAATCTGTTGTCCCGCATCGATTTTCTTTTTATTTATAATTTGGACATATAGTTAGGGAAATCGAAACTATAGTTTCAAGACTTTCGTACTGTGCCTTTTTACTGAGGCATACTTTTCGCTATTATGGTGACAATACTGAGTTTTCAAAATATAACCCTCACCGCTCACGGTTTTAGATTCCGCAATACTTATTTTCCTGTGAATCCATCCGATGTCTGAACTGTAATTTTTTCTATACAATCGCAGGTTCGTTTATTTTTGTATCTGGAACCAGTGGGGGTTGAGCCACTGTCGAATTATAAGGCACATCTAATACGAGAATTCTTAACTTCTGCTCGCTTGATAATTCTGATTTACTATTCAGAATATTTTTACTTTCAGACATTTCATTTGTTATTATTTCTAGCACGTGGATGATGTTATAGGCACGCAGTAGAGGGACATAACTCTTGCAAGTTATGACGAAGATTTTATTTATTGAACTTGTCTTGTTTCGTTTTATGGATTTATGTATTTTGTATTACGGATCGTTTGTACTTGGTATTTATTTTATTCCAGATTTTACCATAAAACCATATAGTTTCGATTTCCCTAACATGCCAAATTATAAATAAAACAAATTAAAATATTCCGTTTCATGTGAAACAAATGGCCATTGCGGTTTATATCAGAAACCTTGAGTTTCGTTTAACAAGTGGTTTTGTGCAGTTGGGCACGATGCGGCATGTTGGGCAATGCGGCAAAACGAGGTTTTCTTCATGGTTCTATACTGATAGAAAGTACGACCAATCGAACAAATCATCTCTACACTATCTCAACTTGGATGTGAGCTGAAATCAGGGGTAGAGAAATAAAAGCTACTGTATGTAACCAAGGAGTTCATTGTTGACTGAAGAGGTTATGGGCTAAAGAACCTCGCTGGGAGATACTTTCACTGTTATAAGGTATGTAATTGTTGTCAGATGGGGCAATTAACCGAGGACAACCAAAAAGGAAACAGAAACTGGCG